TTATTATTGGGCTCACCAGGGCCTACGTTGAGTTAAGCTGAACTGATCTTTGAGGATAATTGGGGTAGGACCCAGGGCAAATTGATGCTTTAAAACTTCTTCCTTTTTTTTTTTTTTTGAGAGACAGGGTCTCATTCTGTCACCCAGACTGGAATGCAATGGTGCAATCACGGCTCACTGCAGCCTTGATTTCCCTGGCTCAATCCATCCACCCTCCTCTACCTCCTGAGTAGCTGGGACTACAGGCACACAAAATGATGTTCAGCTGATTTTTGTATTTTTTGGTAGAGATGGGGTTTTGCCATGTTGCCTCGGCTGTAGAACTCCTGTGCTCAAGCAATCCACCTACCTGCCTTGGCCTCCTGAAGTGCTGGGATTACAGGTGCAAACCACCTTGCCCAGCCCAAACTGCCTATCATTCATAATACATGGTCTTTTTTCCTGTTCCCATTTCTTCCAGTGGCCAGTCCAAGGGGTACGGAAATGGAAATGAGAGTAGTTGTATCCTTAAGTCTAAGTCATTCAAAGCTGCCTCTGAGGATCAGTTTTTACTTGCTCCCTTACCCTTAGTGGGGTTCCAGCCTTTCCCATTAGTCCGACATGCCTGGGAGCATTCCTGTGTGCTGGATAGGGGCAGCCTCTTCTCCAAGGAGCTCTATTTTGATTGCTATTTACTACAGAATGTTCTGGAAAATCAAGTGCATGTCTGCTGCTTTTGTGCTTTTCTCCTTTGGCAGGTGGTATGTGTTTAAAAGGGTGGGTCTCGTACTAGGAAAGCATGGGGGACAGAGGAGACAGCTTCAGCTTTTATAGGAAACCAACTACTGCCTTTGCTATTGCAGTACTTTCACCAGATACCAGAAAAGGAGTCACACATGTGCAGGGAACACAGACCCTCCTCAGAAAGCCCCTGTGCCACTGTTGTAGTTCAGCTCCTGAAGCTCTCAAGATGTCACACCTCCTCAGAGGGGCGGAGCCATCCTAGAACCTGTGGCAGTTTCCTAACAGGGAGCCTGAGTGCTGTGGGAGTTCAGGAGCATTGCTGGAGCATCAGAGAAGTCATAGCTTGGAGAATGGTGTTCCTGAAGAATGCCTTCCAAAAAGAGACAGAGAGACTGGGAACCACAGTTTATATTTCAAAAATGGAAGTGGACAAGTGGGTCAGGACTGGCTGGTGAAAACCTGGACTCTCCAGCCATAGCCCTTCTGGTTGGAAGAGATCCAGCTCTTCACCCAGATCCATTTGACATTGGAAATATCCTACTAGTCTCTGCGAAGGCAAAGGTGTAAAGTGTTGAAGAGGAGAGAGGACGGTTGGGGTGTCCTCTGGGGTGGGGACTAAGGACAGCTGGAGGGAAGGGAAACCCATGCTAGATGGTGGATGTTACCTCCTGTCCTTATTTCAAGCCTGTGGAGTGGGCAGTGGAGGTTATTCCTATTTTACAGATGAGAAAGCAGGCTTAGTTTAGGGGATTAAGCACCAAATGACACAGGTGTTATTACTCAGAGTTGGGATTCAAACTAGGCATTGATGCTTCTGGCTTTTCATGTCTCCATGGGTGGTTCTTTGCTGACTTTGAATTAGAAAAGTGCCTCCAATCCAGGCCCATCCTGGTTTGTAATTTATAGTTTATAAAGTGCCCTCCCAGAAGTGATCTTGTTTGAACCCGTCTTAGTCCATTTGGGCTTCTCTAACAAGGTAACATAGAGTAAGTATTTTAAACAACAGACATTTGCTCCTCATAGTTTTGGAAGCTGGGAATTCCATGGTCAGAGTACCAGTAGGTACTCGGGCATCTGGGATCCCAAGCACAGCAGGAGGATCTCTTGAAACACAATAAAGAACCCCTTGCCGGGCGTGTGGCTCACACCTGTAATCCCAGCACTTTGGGAGGCTGAGGCAGGAAGATCACTTGAGGTCAGGAGTTTGAGACCAGTCTGGCTAACATTGTGAAACCCATCTCTACTAAAAATTCAAAAATTAGCTGGGCCTGGTGGCGGGCATCTGTAATCCCAGTTACTTGGGAGGCTGAGGCGAGAGGATAGCTTGAACCCGGGAGGCGGAGGTTGCACTTCAGCCTGGGTGACAGAGCGAGACTCCATCTCAGTTTTTAAAAAAGTGCTCCTAGGTCTGTTGGCCCCTTTCCAGACTCCCCAGATAGCTTCCCTCCATGCTGGTCTATAGTTTCCAGCTGCCCAGAAGCACTTGTGATATCACCTCCCTCAGCACACACCTCTCTCCTCACATGTGATAAACTCCTCTGTTTCAGAATGTCTTAGGAAACTTTGTGAAGGGCACTTATTCAATGTTAAGAAATCCTTGACAAGAATACATGGTGACATACGGAGCTGGAGACCAGGCACAGCCATTGGAACCTGGTCATGCCACTCTTATCTGATCAGCTATGGACATTTCATTGGAAGAATCGAGGTTAGGGAGCACATGACTGAGCATAGTCACCATCAGAGAAAAATCACTCTTCATCTCAGACACTGACTTTTTCTGAAGGCTTTTTATAGCCCACTTTTTTTGGAAGTGATTAAAGTAAGCTCTGACCTCTTCCCAGAATCATTTTAGTGCTTTGATCGCATTTCATGGGGAGAAATTAAGATCCTTTATTGTCTGTTATCTGTTTTCCTCCGTGGCTCATTACCCATGGCAAACTGGTGCTTTTCTTGAAATCATAAATGTTTGTCCTGCTAGAGTATCAATAAATGCCTTTGGGAAGATCTTAGGTGGGGCCATGGTTCAATGATATTTGAATGATTCTTCACAGTGAAACCTGTAGGGGAAAGCAAAGGAAACATGTTTGCTTCAGAATTTGGAGAATTAGGAGTTTGGCAGGGCAGTTCTCTGGATAGAAGTTGATTTACATCAAAAAGTGTTATTTCTTCTGGATGTCACCCTTGATGTGGCACCTTGGGAGCCAACATGCTTAGGGCAGTTGAAGGGAATGGTCTTCTCTGTGACCCAGCAGCAGGGCTAAGAAGCCTACTCAGGTGCAGATGGAGGGGAACACACTAATGTGTTCTGCAACCTCCTGGCAATAGTCTGGGTGCCCATCAGGAGGAGGATGAGTAAATAATAAGTGAACCAAAACCACATGAACAACATGAAAAAATATTTCAAAAATATAAAGCTAGACAAAAAATGCCAAGTTTATTGTATAGTTGAAAACTATTAGGCCAGGCGCAGTGGCCCACACCTGCAATCCCAGCACTTTGGGAGGCTGAGGCAGGTGGATCACTTGATCCCAGGAGTTCAAGACCAGCCTAAGCAACATGACAAAATCCCATCTCTACAAAAAATAGAAAACATTGGCTGGGCATGGTGGCACATGCCTGTGGTCCCGGCTACTCAGGAGGCTGAGGTGGGAGGATCGCTTGAGCCAAGAGGTTGAAGCTGCAGTGAGATGTGATCGTGTGCAGTGAGCCACTGCACTCCATCCTGGGCAGCAGAGTGAGACCCTGTCTCAAAGGAAAATAAAAAGCTATTTATATAAGGTTTGAAACAAGCAACACAATGTTTATATATATTGTCCTTGGCCACAAACATGTCAGTAAAATATAGTGAAAGGCAAAGGGATGATGAATACCAAATTTGAGAGAGTGGTTACCTCTGGGGATGGAAGAGAAATGAGACCTAGGAGTTGTTCACAAAAATATCAATGATTTATCTGTTTTCTTGAAATGGTTGGTAGGTGTGTGAATGTTAAAATATTACTTAGATTTTTTAGTGGTTGAAATACTTCATAATTTTAATTTAGTGTTTTTGTTTGTTTTTTTAAGGCAGGGTCTTGCTCTGTTGCCCAGGCTGGAGTGCAGTGGTATAATCACAGTTCACTGCAGTCCTGACCTCCTGGGCTCAAGTGATCCTCCCACCTCAGTCTCCTAGGTAGCTGGGACTACAGGCACATGGCACTATGCCCAGCTAATTTTTTTTAGAAAAGAATTTTTTTTTTTTTAGTAGAAATGGGGTCTCACTGTGTTGCCGAGGCTGGTCTCAAACTCTTGGCTTCAAGTGATCCTCCCACTTCAGCCTCCCAAAATGCTGGGATTATAGGTTTGAGCCGTCACACCCAGCCTAGAATTTGTTTTTAAAAAGTGGAAGAACCAGCCAGGCACAGTGGCTCATGCCTGCAATCCCAGCACTTTGGGAGACCAAGCCGGGTAGATCATTTGAGGTTAGGAGTTCGAGACCAGCCTGGCCAACATGGTGAAACCCTGTCTCTACTCAAAATATAAAAATTTTTTGGGGGGGGGGGGGGGGGGGGGGGGTGCCTGTAATCCCAACTCCTTGGGAGGCGGAGGCAGGAGAATCCCTTGAGCCTGGGAGGCGGAGGTTCCGGTGAGCCAAGATCATGCCACTGCACTTCAGTCTGGTGAGAGAGTGGGACCCTGTCTCAAAAAAAAAAAAAAAAAAAAGAACCTTTCCTAATCAGTTCAATCAACAGTTTTAATTTTCAGGTATTACTAACTGGACTCCTGGGGCTGATGGAGGAGGAACCAATCAGAGTCCATCTCATTCCGAATGAATAGACTCAGAGCTGTATTGGTTGATGGCCATGCCTCAATAATAGCATAGTGCCAGAGTGAACTCTCTGGGGGCCTCCTTTTGCTATTCTCCCACCTCTTGCCCAGATTCATCATGGCCACTTCATCATTCCTAACTATTAGCACCAGTGAGAAATTAAGAGAAGGCACAAAACTGCTCATTTTGCTACTTGATAGTCTGATGAGTGGAGAGTAGAAATAATGCACTGAAGGAAGTCTTCACATTTTGAGCATATCTTGTTCATTGATTACAATGAAAATAGCCAAGATTAACTGAGACAAACTTGAATTTTGGTTAACCCATAAGAATCTCCTGCCAATCCAAAGGGGCAGGAGGGAGTGATCATCCGAAAGCTCCTATGCAAACCTTGCTCTAGGGCCTCTGTCTCTGAAGGGAGTGGTTTTGATGACTTGTTCTGAAATCATTGTTTGTTTTACATTCACAGCATGGCCGGACCCCCCTGCATCTTGCTGCCAATAAGGGCCATCTTCCTGTGGTCCAGATCTTGCTGAAGGCTGGCTGCGACCTCGATGTCCAGGATGATGTGAGTAGAAGCCATCATTCTATCAGGGGCTTGTCTGGCAGGGGAGGTTGTCTGGCTAGAAATCCACAAAGTGTAAGCTATGAGATGGGAGGGTAGTAGATGCGCTCCCAGCACATTTTAGTTGCATCTTGGTCTCTGTGGCAGCAAGAACTTCCTCTTGAAGACCTGCTCTGAGGCCCATTCTCAGTAGCAAGTTAGAGTTTGGGAGTATGGGGTGGTTCTTCCATCATGGTTTACTTCCTGTCTATTATTCAAGTGATCACTTCGTGTCTATTATACAAAATGCCTCAAAGGGCATTTTTGCCTGTGTCAGGTCTCGGCATAAAGGGACACACACATGCACATCAGTATGGGCAAGACCCACTGGAAATATGTGTCAGTGACCAAATTTATCATTGGAGAAAAATGGGGGTCAAAAACTTAATTTTTTTCTTATCTTAATGTCTCTGTCTGTGACTATGACATGGAAAAGGAGCTATTGAAGTTGGGGAGTTGGGGGGAAGACACAAATATCATAGAATCTAAGAAAAAGGAGGCCTCCAGAAACAGTTCACTCTGGTACTATGCTATTATTGAGACATGTCCACCAACCAACTCAGCTCTGAGTCTATGCATTCGGATTATCTAGAGATAGACTCTGATTGGCTCCTCTGGCATCAAGTGGCCAATCCTGAGTGAGTTAGTAGTGGCTGGGTTGGAGTCATGCAGTACAGTGGGCTGCCCTATTGGGTCTTTGGAGAAGGTGGATTCTCTAAGAGAGGACCATATAAATTGTCCTCCAACAACTATTAGGAAAAGGTCCTTTGATAGTATAATTGAAAACTATTTTTAGAAATGGTTGCAACACTAATTCGTGTAGTAGAACTCTTAAGAAATAAGAACTTTTGTAGGGAACACAGAATCTTGGAGTGTTTGCACTTACAACCTCTTCCAAATTCACCTTTAATAACTGTAGTTATAGAGCGTGTTTCAAATTTCAGACCTTCAGATGTGCTAGAGTGTGGTTTACCAAAGTGCTTCTAATCTTCTTTGGGTCTGTATATAATGTCATAAAACTTGGCAAACACACAGTGAGAAGGATAGTATTTGTAAAGAAATAACTAAATATGACTGTTTTATGCATGGGCAGAAGGCCATCCAGTGTCTTTCATAAATCTCTGGTTATATCTGGAACCTGCTGGGTCATCAAGGATGTTACTTTCAAAAAATGCTGATTTAGCTTTAAGCTGTTGATTTCTACCTTGGGTCATAATACTTTATTTTCCTGCACCGTGGCCATCATAACATTTTCAACTATATCATATCCCTAGATGACAGGAGCAAAAATACAAGGAGAGAGAAAATATTTTGACCACAGAAAAGGTGGGACGTTGAGTTACTGGTGCAAACATGTTGGGATGCATCTGGTCTTCTCTTCATATAATTAAAGGCTTTGCTTGCCACAGTGGCAATGCCAAAATGCTGGACGTGCTAACCCATTCCAACTTGATACCCCTGCCTCACATCCTGGACTCCAAGTATCACTGTGTTCTCATGCAGCAAAAGCCTTGCTAATTTGCTAGAACTGCTGCTGTTTATACCAGGCGAGGTAGGACGTGAAACAGGCAAGAATTATTTTAGGTAGCCAAAGTGAGATGTGTCAGCAGAAGAAAAGCCAGCTCTACTTTTAGACAGAAAGATCCCCTTTTATTTATTGAAGTTATTTTCTTGCATCTTTTCCTTGTCCTAGACAGACGATGCATATATTTCTTCTCCCAAATTAAAAAAAAAATACACAACAAGAAGCAGTTGGGAGAGGGGAAGGTAGAATTCACCTTCACTAGTTCTGAAAAAACTCATTTGCCGGCATATGATCCATTCCTGTTCTCTGTGTATTTAACATGCTGTTGATGACCAGCCTTGAAATACATGCAAGAAATCAAGGAAGAAAACTCTTGATTGTGTCCTTTAAAGAATCTAGAAGATCAGTTATTAGAAAAAATCAATTTCAGGCCGGGCGCGGTGGCTCAAGCCTGTAATCCCAGCACTTTGGGAGGCCAAGGCGGGTGGATCACAAGGTCAAGAGATCGAGACCATCCTGGTCAACATGGTGAAACCCCGTCTCTACTAAAACTACAAAAAATTAGCTGGGCATAGTGGCGCGTGCCTGTAGTCCCAGCTACTCAGGAGGCTGAGGCAGGAGAATTGCCTGAACCCAGGAGGCAGAGGTTGCGGTGAGCTGAGATCGCGCCATTGCACTCCAGCCTGGGTAACAAGAGCGAAAACTCCGTCTCAAAAAAAAAAAAAAAAGAAAAAATCAATTTCAGAAGTTACCTGTCTTGGATGGTGGGTAGAAACAGAGAATGTTAATGTTATAAAGAATTTACTCCTAACTTCATATTCTGCAGATACTGATTTATGGCATGGTAAGGACTGAGAATTAGTTGAAGAATGACCTCCAGTGGCTTGGAGTGGGATTATTATGAATTTCAACCTGTGGAAACCAGTTCTTTAGATTATGCAACTCCAGGAGCAAATTCTCCCTTGCTTCCTGCCAATCCTGTCAACTCTCATTGGAACACTAATGCCATCTCTGATTGGTCAATGAGCAGTCACATAGCCCCCGCCTCAGAAATAGTCCAGGATGCTGTGGCCACAATGAAAGCCATGAAAGAAGACAAAAATAAGAAAAACCACAGAGGGACGGTTAGGAAGGACCCTAGAAGATCAGAGAGAGAAAAAGAGGTCAGCAACTTGCTTTGCACACTATCCTGTCTTGAGCTTCCTTACAGTATGTCTGCCTGTGCCACATGGGTGTGATTCCTCCTGAAGAGGGGCACGCTGCACCCTTGCATGACTGGAATTTCTTCCATGAGTGTGGCCTTGGAATCTGCCAACACTACGCTCACTTTTTCACCATGTAGGAAAGAGAACAGTATTTCAAAAGAAAGATTTAGACCTTATAGACACTAAAGCTCTTAAAATCTCAAAGTGAGAAACACTGTCTCAGAAGAACTGAGATCCAGCAGTTCATGTACTTTGCAAATGGGTCAACGTGTTCCAAATCATCGTGCCAAACTGCAAGGTGGCAGGCTCTTCAAGTTTCCAGCCACAGCATTTTTCCTTCTGCTTCTTGTAGTTAATCATTCAACAAATACTTCTTGGGCAGCTACAGCAGCTATACTTTATGAAAGAGGCAGCCCCAACCCCACAGACGCATCTGATCTTTTCTGAGGCCCGTCTTAAGGTTAATGACTTCACAAGTTGAAGGCAGCTTGGAGTGAGTACAAAGAGCCTTGACAATTTGATTTCTGGTCCAAGCGTGCTACCCTGAGTTCTAGGCTTACCAATAAAACGAGAGAATTAGACATCAATAAAATAAGATAAAAATCAATAAAATGAGGGAATTAGACTGGCACATAGTAGTTAGTCAATAAATATTCAGGCCGGGTGTGGTGGCTCATGCCTGTAATCCCAGCACTTTGGGTGGCTACAGAGGAAGGATCCCTTGAACCCAGGAGTTGGAGACCAGCCTGGGCAATATGGCGAAACTCCATCTCTACAAAAAATTTTAAAAATTAGCTGGGCATGGTGGCAAATGCCTGTGGTCCCAGCTACTCAGGAGGCTGAAGTGGGAAGATTGATTGAGCCTGGGAGGTGGAGGTTGCAGTGAGCTGAGATCATGCCACTGCACTCTAGGGTAAGTGACAGAGTGAGACCCTGTATCAAAATGAATGAATGAATGTTCACTGAGTAGATAATTGAGTAAATGCTGTTGAGAGTTCTCTGCCTTTTCCTAGCATTTCAGAACTTCATGATTGACTTAGATCATATACAAGTAAGAATCATGTCAGAGCCGGGCATGGTGGCTCACACCTGTAATCCCAGCACTTTGGGAGGACGAGGCGGGCGGATCACAAGGTCAAGAGATCGATACCATCCTGACCAACTTGGTGAAACCTCGTCTCTACTAAAAATACGAAAATTAGCTGGGCATGGTGGCTTGTGCAAGTAGTCCCAGCTACTCAAGAGGCTGAGACAGGAGAATCCCTTGAACCCAGGAGGTGGAGATTGCAGTGAGCCAAGATCTTGCCACTGTACTCCAGCCTGGTGACAGAGCGAGAATCCACCTCCAAAAAAAAAAAAAAAATTATGTCAAAGTAGCCACTTGTAAGTATTGAGGGTACATCTTGTTCTTCTCTGTGTTATTTCAAGGAGGAAATGTTTCCATAGTAAATTTTAATCTTAGAGGAGGAAAGAGTCCATTTGTAGGTAACTGACCATGCTTCAACCAAGGGGTGCTAAATTGTTTGTGTTGTATTCTAAGGAAGAATAGATCTGAGATGATAACCTGAGGCAGCCTTTGATTATGTTTTGTGTCCCTCAGAGCCTTTAATTCTCATCTTGGTGACTTGAGAAGGGTGAGTTTTTCAAAGCCAAAGAAAGCGTATTGCTCAGTCCTCCAGAACCATTCCAGCTAGTGTAAGCACAGCTGGCAGTCCAGCCAAGGACAGGCACTTTCTGCAGGGAGAGGCCGAGCCTGGTGAGACAGTATTGTTTATCTGACCGGGGTCTCAGTGAGGTCTCTGTCTGAGAGGACGGCTGGAGGGGGTTCTGTGGCCTGGAGACAGGTAGGACAGCCACAAGGTCCCCAGAGGAAGGGGTGTGCAGGAGACACCCGTGCCAGCAGCTTAGGACAATTTGTGTTCTTGCTGCAACCTCACACAAGTCATTAGATCTCCTGAATCTTGCTAGTCTAGAAATTTCCACCTAAGGTCTGAACTGAAAGTTAGATTTAGCTGCTTGTATTGAGCAAGAGTTTCACAAAGGAAAGTTGTCTCAAAGGAAGCAAATACAGTAGATTGATGATGAAAGCAAGTAATAAATAATGTGCCCTTCTGGCTCCAAAGATGCCTCAACTCATAATTTTAGAGGGCAGCTTGTGAAACATGATAAAAAACATTTGACCTAAACCAAGGCTTATGTTAGACTGCACCCTATCATCCAGTGAAGGCCCTTCATAAAATAATTTGTACAGCAAGAGCGGCTAACTTACTCCGTGTGCTCAGGGCTTGTTGCTCACACTTTATGAACAATACAGAGTGATAGGTTTTATCCTGGAAAAAGGTTGTTTTTGTTGGTACAGAGAGCGCTACAGTGTAGGCAGTTTGTGGTTATATTAAAAAGCCTGTAACAAGTGGAAATCTAACCAAGTCAGTACTACCCTGAAAGCGTGAGCTGCAATTACATGGTTCTTGCTAAGGAGGGCACTGTTTTTTAGCAGATCAGTAATCATCAATTGCACTAGAGGCCTATTTTGGGAAACTCTATCAGCACTCTGCTAGAGAAATGGGAAGTCTTGGAAATCTTATGGAAATTTTAAAAAGTTGAGACTTGGGTGTGGGCACGGTGGCTCATGCCTGTAATCCCAACGCTTAGGGAGGCTGAGGCGGGTGGATCACTTGAGGCCAGGAGTTCAAGACCAGCCTGACCAACATGGTGAAACTCCGTCTCTACTAAAAATACAAAAAAAAAAAAAAAAAAAATTAGCCAGGCATGGTGGCAGATGCCTGTAATCCCAGCTACTCTGGAGGCTGAGGCAGAAGAATCACTTGAACTTGGGAGGTGGAGGTTTCAGTGAGCCAAGATGGTGCACACCAGCCTGGGCGACAGAGCGAGACTCCGTCTCAAAACAAAAACAAAAAGTTGAGACCTGGGTGGTATCTCATATGATTACTAGTTTCCTTGTCTAGAACTACTTTCTAAGAGGTCTGAGGTAGACAGTGCAATGGCACAGTCCACCTCCTGCTGCCACTGACCCAGCAGCCACGTTCTTCTTTTAACCACAGCAAGGGTTATCTTTGAATAAGAATTCTGGGAAGAAAACCAGCCTGAGCCTAATTAATAACGAGAATAATAGTTTAGGATGCTGAAGGGAGGGTCAGTGGTGGCAATGTTGAGGACAGTGACCTGTCCTCAGTGTCCTGACCTTCTCACTACAGAAATTCTTTACTTTCCATGAATGAACAGTGAGAAAAGAGTCTGTGACAGGGACAGTCCCATTATTGGAGTATTGTTTCTGCTCAGACTTCCAATAAGTAGCAGTTTTTCTGGATGCTAAAAGTTATCCGTGTCAAAAATAAAAAGCTGGAAAATATTAAAAATTATAAAAAGAAAAACGAGAAAAAATCCTTTCATGGAGTTTTAAAGGGACACTTTTAATTTTAAGAAAGCAGTTTCGAGTTTTAACAGGGATTTTTTTTTATTGTAATAAAACATACATAGCATTAAATTTAGCATCTGAACATATTTACCTATACGGTTCAGTGGCATTAAGTACATTCACAGTGTGGTGCAACCATCACCATCCATCTTTAGAACTTTATTTCAGATTACATGCTTTTAATGTGCATTGTTGTTTGTTATAGATCAGTGGAGTTTAATAAGTAGAATCAGTATTTCATTAAGGTTGTTTTTAGGTAGCAGTGCATCCTTCTTTTAAAAAATCTGTTTTATCTTGTGATGGCCTCTGCTCTCTCCTGTGCCAAGGACCAGGACACCCCAGAGTGTTTCCTTTGCCTCTCTGGTGCTCTGCCAGGAAACTTTACAAGGCTCTGACCAACCAAATCACAAAATCCGAGAAGGCAATGCAGGAACCCTGGAGATCATCCACCCTCTCCTTTTATAGGTGACACACCTGAGGTCCAGCAGGGTGACAGGCTTCTAGCAAGCTGTGCACAACCCCGGCCTCCTGACCCCTTGTCTCATGCTCATTACTTTTTCTACTAGAGCATGTCCACACTGCCCACCCCTCCTCCCTTTGAAGCCTGGAAAACAGGCTCAGCTTGATTTGCTTCAACTTAGCTTCCTGAGGACCTGTCAGAGATAAAGGGTACTTAGAGACTTCAGAACTCTCCTGTTACAGTCTTGACCTGCTTACCTCTGGGAGTGTTTCATCCTTCACTCAACTGCAATTAGGAAAACAGTCAAGTTCCCTTTGGCGCCTAAAGGAGAAAAACGGCTGGTAATCCCAGGAATCCAATCACAGAGAAAAGGGTTCAGAATGCAGCATAAATCAGTGAGGATGTTGTCATGAAATCTCTGAAGAGGCTTCTTAGAAATATGCAGTGATAGCTACCGTCCCTGGAGTCCTCAGATGAAATAGGGCAAACCCTTGCATTGCTCTTAACTAGTACAAGTCAATGAACAAATGGCATGCCTGGCATCAAATCATGAGTGCTGCTAACTGACAGAGCTGGACAGTGGTTCCCCTGCAAGCTGGGAACTTGACAGGCAGTAGAGATTCCAGGCATTGCTGCTTTAATTGTATAGCACACACCTGCCCCCACACCCACTCTTCACACCTGTGACAATCGTGTCCTGGATGGAAGGTGAGAGCCTGACCCTTATTCTGAGGTCAGCTCTGTGGCCAAGGGCTATTCTTGCTGTTGGCTTAATGTCTCTCTCTTAGTTTGTGAACAAAATTGCTCTGCCAGCATGCATTGTCTACTAACAAGACCACAAAGCCCTTCTGCAAATAACCACTCTGCTCTATATGGGGACAGGAGGGGTCTTTGTGTCCAGGTGTCAAGTGAGTAGTGCAAAGGGGTGCAGGGGAGCTGACTGCTGTTCCTGCCTTCTTGTCACTTTGCAGGGGGACCAGACTGCCTTGCACCGGGCCACGGTGGTGGGGAACACGGAGATCATCTCCGCACTCATCCATGAGGGGTGTGCCCTGGACAGACAAGACAAGGTGAGTGGACACTGAGCTTACTTACTCCCCAAGGCGAGGGAAGCCAGTGGTTCCAGGGAGAAGCCTGCTCTGGAAATTTTTGAGTCCTTGCCATATTATCACTCCCATCTTTCCACTTATGATTTAACATGATGAAATCAGCCCAAAATTCCTTTGAAACACTATCTGGTATCCCAAACAATTGTAGTTTTTTTTTTCCTTTTCTTTTTGAGAGAGGGTCTCACTTTGTTGCCCAGGCTAGAGTACAGTGGCATGATCATAGCATACTGCACCTGGAACTCTGGGCTCAAGTGCTCCTCCTACCTCGGCCTCCCAAGGTGCTGGGATTACAGGCATGAGCCATTGTGCCTAGCTGCCAATTGTATTTTTTTTTTTAAATGTTTTTCCTTATTCCATGGCACCAGTGACAACCACATAAATCTTAAATGGTAAAGAAAAAAATCTAGAAATAAGGACCTATGTAGGCCTGGGTGGGGGTGGGGACAAGGGATGTGCCCCCAGACTTTCTGTTTACTTTCTTAGATAAGTGAGCAAGTTAATTTCTTCAGACTATACTGCAGGAAAAAAAGTAAGCTCCATTAGGCCAAGCACAGTAGCTCACACCTATAATCCCAGCACTCTGGGAGGCTAAGGGGGAGGATTGCTTCAGGCCAGGACTTCGAGACCAGCTTAGTCAACATACCAAACCACTGATTCCACAAAAAATTTGAAAATTAAAAAAAATATATTAGCAAGGCATGGTGGTACACACCAGTAGTCCCAGCTACCCAGGAGGCTGAGATGGCAGGATTGTTGAGCTCAGGAGGTTGATGCTCCAGTGAGCCATGATCGCATCACTGCATTCCAGCCTGGACGACAGAGTGAGAGACTTCTTACATATTAACCCGATCTTCTTAAATTTTCAAACAATCTTAAAACACAAAACTTCACAATTAAGTGTAATTCAGCCTCTGCTTACTTTTTTTTTTTTTAAAAAAGAGGCTATGCTGGGAAGAACTCTGCTTTACTTTTTAAAAATAACTTCATTAAAATATGATATACATGCAGAAAAATGGACAAGTGAAGCTTGATGAATTTCACTAGTTGAACACACCTGTGTGAGCACCCAGCTCAAGAAGCAGCTCATTGCCAGCACCCAGAAGCCCCACACCCTGTGCCCCCTGCCCCCTGCATCCCCCTTTCCTGTGTCTTCCTCCTTCTGCAGTCAGTCCCACTGTCCAAGCCACACATCGCCAATACAGTTCCCAGCAACCACCCCATCCTCTGGCCTTTGAGACCCTAGACTTCCCTTTGTGGATGTCAACTGTGTTAGGCTTTTATTTTGTATTTATTTATTTAGGGATGGAGTTTCGCTCCTCTTGCCCAGGCTGGAGTGCTATTGCATCATCTTGGCTCACTGCAACCTCTGACTCCCAGGTTCAAGCGAGTCTTCTGCCTCAGTCTCCCAAGTAGCTGGGATTACAGGCATGTGCCACTACGCCCAGCTAATTTTGTATTTTTAGTAGAGATAGGGTTTCTCCATGTTAGTCTGGATGGTCTTGAACTCCTGAACTCAGATGATCCACCTGCCTTGGCTTCCCACAGTGCTGGGATTACAGGCATGAGCCACCACACCTGGCCAGGCCTTTATTTTTAGTTGTTTCCAGGTGCATGGATGTGGTTGAGTTAAAGCCTAAACCAGAACCTGGATGTAATTGGAGAATGCACCTGCGCTGGCCCCAGCTGTTGCCCGGCACCTTTCCCTCTCCAGGCTCTGCCCTTCCTGTAACCCTTGCCTTCCTGCCCCCACCCCACTCAATTTATTGCACTTAATGATATTTCTTGGCTTAAAATAGTAAACTAAGCAAATATGAGCTATGTTCATTAAATGATTTTTATTTAAAAGCCACACATTACATGTAACATTTGAGAAAAGAAAAAAGAAAAAAAAAGCCACACATTAGGCTGGGTGCAGTGGCTCACACCTGTAATCCCAGTACTGTGGGAAGCTGAGGTGGGTGGATCACTTGAGGTCAGGAGTTCGAGACCAGCCTAGGCAACATGGTGAAACCCTGTTTCTAATAAAAATACAAAAATTAGCCAAGTGTAGTGGTGCATGCCTATAATCCCAGCTACTTGGGAGGCTGAGGCAGGAGAATCGTTTGAACTCTGGAGGCAGAAGTTGAAGTGAGCTGAGATTGCACCACTGCACTCCACTCTAGGTGACAGAGAGCGAGACTCTCTCTCAAAAAATAAAAGCCACACATTGAGGATACTTGTTAGTTTTATTTCCAAATCACTGTTTCCTCAGTCCTTCCTCATTATTTGTTGGGGGACCTGAGTCTTTTGGATTAAGGTGGTTGGTGAGATTAAGTTTTGGTGAATAGTGGTGGAGGAATCTGTCAGGCCCCTGAATCTTACAAAGCTGGGCTCTTCCTTTGCCTGACCTTTGCAGGGTTCTCTCTGATGCCAGGAGCAGAGCAGACTCTAAGGGTGGTGGAGGTGGGAAGGAACAGACAGCATGCCATCCTGATGTTGCTTTCTGTTAAACAAAAGCTGTGGATGGGGTCTGGAGCCTTTCTCAACTGGGGTTCTTAGAGAGACTTAACCCCTATTGCCTTATGAACAGTCATCCATGGTTCATCATGGGTTCATTTCTCTTCTGTGCATCTATAATGGTTCTTATTATGTAACATTTCTGGGAGAATGGAGAAACTAACCACTTAAATCATCTTCTGTAGTCAGTGGCTCAGATGAGAAAGTCCAATTGAGAAAGGCCTTCTGGTGTTTTGTAAAAATCCACTGTGTTGTATTGATCATGATGAGAAGAATTAGTCTTGGGTAATGTGCCTTTCCCACCTGTGTGTCTTCCTTAGGATGGGAATACAGCCTTGCATGAAGCATCCTGGCACGGTTTCAGCCAGTCAGCCAAGCTGCTCGTTAAAGCAGGAGCCAACATACTTGCCAAGAACAAGGTGAGGCCTGGCAGGTGCTAGAATGCCTCATTCACAGGTGAGGATGGCTGTGGGTTTCTCCCCTTAGGGGAACCTTCTTCCAGCAAGAAAAGTGGGAGCCCAGAGAGGCACGAGGAACCTGAAGGTCCATTTGACCCAGAAGTTTCATTTGCAGAAAAGGCTATAAGCTAACTGATGTCCCAGGTCAGGAGCAGGCCCACTAACAGCACCAAAACCCTGCTCATGTGAGAGGTCCCCGACTGCTGCTGGGAATCTACATGCAATTATTGTCCCATAGTTTCTTTGTATTCAAAAATTTGGCAATGGAGTTGGCATTAAAAAATATCAGCAAAAGAACTTAATATAAATTTGTAACTTTAAAATGCTAGTACCCAAAATTAGTAAAGTGAGCTTACCCAGATGCTGTTGGGAGCTTGTGATATGAACAGCCACCTTTGGGAGACAATTTGGCAAAACAAATCAGGAGTGTTAAAACTGGTTCCTTTTTGACAGGCATGGTGGCTCATACCTGTAATCCCAGTACTTTGGGAGGCCTAGGCAGGCAGATCATCTGAGGTCAAGAATTTAAGATCAGCCTGGTCAACATGGTGAAACCCCATCTCTAGTAAAAATACAAAAATTATCCAGGAGTGGTGGCTTGTGCCTATCTGTAGTCCCAGCTACTTGGGAGGCTGAGGCAGGAGAATCACTTGAACCTGGGAGGCAGAGGTCACAGTGTGCCAAGATTGCACCACTGCACTCCAGCCTGGGCACAGACCAAGACAGTCTCAGGGGAAGGAAGGGGGAGGTCCTTTCTTTGCCAGGTGTGGTGGCTTATGCCTGTAATCCCAGTCTTTTAGGAAGCTGAAGCAGGTGAATCACTTGAGACCAGGTGTTGGAGATCAGCCTGGCCAACATGGTGAAACCGTTTCTACTAAAAATACAAAAAAATTAACTGAGTGTGGTGGTGCATGCCTGTCATCCAAGCTACTTGGGAGGCTGAGACACTAGAATAACTTGAACTCAGTAAGCAGAGGTTGCAGTGAGCTGAGATTGTGCCACTATACTTCCAGCCTGGGTGACAGAGCGAGACTCCATCTCAAAAAAAGGGTCCTTTTTACTCAGTACCTACCTCCTGGGACTCCATCTTGAAAAAGTAATGAAACCTGCTATTAAAATGAAATATGGAAAAGAAGAAAAATAAGCAATAAAACCAGTAAAATTTTACCCACAAAGACATTCATGACAGCAGTAGTTATGATATTTTTTAAATATGGAGAGGGAGACTTAGAATTATGGTTCATTCATACAGTGGAATATAATTAATATTAAAATCATAGTTTTGAAGATAATAACATGAACATGACAGATATATAAGATCATATATAGCACATGTCCCAGTGCTTAATATAAATTTGTATATTTAAAAATTTAAGCGCAGAAGGATATCATCAGAGTATTAAGAGTGGTTATCTCTGGGAATTGAGGCTAAGATTGATTTTTATTCTTGTACCTTTCCCAAATTTTCCAAAATGAACTCATTATTTCTTTTGTAATTGGGAGGCTTTTTTTTTTTTTGAGACAGAGTCTTGCTCTGTCACCCAGGCTGAAGTGCAATGGCGTGATCTCTGCTCACTGCAACCTCTACTTCATGAGTTCAAGCAATTCTCCTGCCTCAGCCTCCAGAGTAGCTGGAATTACAGGCATGTGCCACCACGCCTGGCTAATTTTTGTATTTTTAGTAAAGATGGGTTTCACCATGTTGTCCAGGCTGATCTGGAACTCCTGACTTCATGATCCTCCCATCTCGGTCTCCCAAAGTGCTGGGATTATAAGCATGAGCCACCACACCCAGCTAAGAGATTTATTTTAAAAATAAAAACATTATCAGTACTCTGGAGATATTTGCAATTGAGGTAAGAAGGGTCATAAAAGGGCTTGCCATCTTTTCAGTCCCTGGATGGCCAGATTGGGTCTGTAGCAGGGGTTTAAAGTGGCCTGAATTTCCCAGAATGCACTGGCATATCACAGGGTGGTAGCTTCAGCTAATAGTGTTGGGATAATGAATCAGGTGGGCTAGAATGGGATTTTGGACGGCAATAGCCTGGGGACCATGGACAGCAGTAAGTAGCCTCTCTAATACAGATACACATGCACACACACACACACACACACACACAGTTAAGTATAATTTCATGGCCAAGTCAAATCTGAAACCATAGTATCTCTAGCTTATGACACCTACACACACATCTACATACAAGATCTTCAACAGCAATGTCAGGTGAATCAACCTATAGAAATATATCCCATCAATGAAGTGACTTCTCTGGACCTTGCATGCTGCAGGAAATAGAAATGACAGCCTGAAATGCCTTTGTGAACGTAATCTCTGTGGGAGCAAGAGAACCTACCTCAGTGGCTTTGCCCTTTGGTAAATCTTCTGGCTCTCAATGCCTTTTCATTGGTTTATTAGAGAATATAGTTAAGCAAGCCATGCCTCCCTCATTTTCATCTGTCTCCCCTCTCCAGTCCCTCATCACATCTTAGGACATCCTCAAGTCTCACACCTGTTCCTCTTTCCATGCTCATTTGTAAGCATTCCCTGGATTATTTCAGAAGCCTCAAGTAGATCAGCAGGCTCAAGTCTAGTCCCTTCTTTCATCCTGCTCTTTCTCTGCTCAGCAATCTTCCTGTAAAGCTCCTGCCCGACACTGTCTATAAGGCTCTCCCAGCCCACCTCTGGAGCTCCTCTCGGATCCTTTCCCGGAGAGGGCCTCCTGTGCCCTCACTGGCCTGCTCCTCATTCCTGCTTGTAGACCTCAAACCTGGCCCCAGGCCCTCTCCCTCCACAGGCCCATGGGGCTGCTTCCACAGCTGTCACTTGGCACCACATGCAGCTTTGTGCTGTCATTTCCTAGTTCATGTTTTTCATGGTTCCCTCATGGGTCAAAAGCTTGAGGGAGAGCAGCGAGCTATGCGCGGTAATACTGCTGGTAGTGCCTGGCTCACTGCTTAGCAGGCCGGTGGCTGCCCCATTTCTTCAAAGTGCACGTGGTCTGGAACAGGAGTTGGTGGTGTATAATCACTTTTTTTTTTTTAAAGAGATGGAGTCTCACTCTTGTCACCCAGGCTAGAGTGCAATGGCTCGATCTCGGCTCACTGCAACCTTTGCCTCTCAGATTCAAGCGATTCTCCTGCCTTACCCTCTCAAGTAGCTGGGATTACAGGCACCTGCCATCATGCCCAGCTAATTTTTGTGTTTTTAGTAGAGACCAGGTTTCACCATGTTGGCCAGGCTGTTTTTGAACTCCCAACCTCAGGTGATCTGCTCGCCTCGGCCTCCCAAAGTGCTGGGATTACAGGTGTGAGCCACCACGCCCAGCCTGTAATCACATTATTTAAAATGCCAACTCTGAGAAGCAAGTGGTCTCAATTAATGGATAAGTATGCCTAAGCTGGGAGCCAGTAGAGTCCCTAAGATACACGATTTCTTGATGACATAATTAGAGCTGTGAACTAGCTCAGATCAGTCTGTCCCACCATACTGCCTTCTATCCCATGGAGGGCCCTAAAAATATCGTGGAAGGCCACAAGTTTTTTCTGTGTAGATAAAATGGCTTCAGAAGGACAGGTCAGGAAGCTCATGCATCCCAGAGAGAGGGACGTTCTGCACTAATCATAGCCTGTGGAAAGATCCTTATTCAGCAAATATAGCAGCTTCTGTTTGGGAAATCAGTACCCACTACTGAGGGTGGGGAAAAACGCCTGCTACACATATATCTACCCTAGGTCACATTTTCTAATGTCAGGTTTTGAGATATAGGTATGAAGTCATGCTGTTCTGTGTGTTTTGACAAATGTATACCGTTGTGTCACCACCACTTTAAGATATAGAATGCTTCCATTGCCCCAAAAAGTTCCTTTGCACCCTCTGGTGGCAGCCCCCAGTCACCCTCTCCCAGCTCTGGCCAACCACGGATCTGTTTTGCTTTTTCACAAATGTCATATAAATGGAATCATATAGTATGCAGCCTGCTGTGTGTGGCTTCTTTCGCTCAGCATAATGTTTTTGGGATTCCTCCATGTAACATGGAGGAATGGATCACACCTCTTTATTGCTGAGTAGTATTCCATTGTGTGGATCTGCCACAATTTGTTTATCCAAACCTATGGTTTTTAATTTTCTAGATGTAAGTGCTTTTCTGCATCATTGATGCGGCAAAATAAGCTTTGATATGATCTATTTCTAGAGGCATCAGATTTCTTTCACTTCACTCATTTATTCAGCGTGTATTTAACGGTTGCCATGAAGCCCATAACTTGCAGACAACTTGAGAGTAGAGTGTTTAAGACCTGGGCAGACCCCTTGTTGCTGAAACTAAGCTAGCAGTGGTTCTCCACCTGGCTGCATGTTAGACCCTTCCTGGGGAATTGTAACCAAAACTTAAAAAAAAAAAAAAAAAGCAAAAAAACCCTGAAGACCAGGCCTAGGGTGATGGACTGTTCCAGTTTGCCCTGGGCTAAGGGGTTCCCCAGAATGTGGGACTTTCAGTGCTAAAATGGGGACGCTGGACACCCACCCTCAAGGCCAAGTAAATCAGAGTCCCTAGAACGGTTGTGGCTGTGCACAGGGATGGGTTGAAAGCTTCCCCAGGTGATTCCAATGTGCATCCAAGGGTTGAGAACCAGTGAGCCTGCTGGAACCTCAGGCCCATAATCCTCCCTGTGCTTGGAGGTAAAGTGAGACAAAAGGTCCACCTGGGCTGGTTGGAGCTAAGGTGAAGAGAAGGGGGATAAGTAAACTGGTCGCATCCAGTATTCCTCTATTTGTTTTTTTGTTTTTGTTTTTGTTTTTTAACTCATTTCTATTTTTAAAAGATCAGGAATCTAACATACTGGAGTGTCAGCAGCCAGTACTGTGAGATCCAGAGGGGAGTGAACTAGGTGAGGGAGAAGCAATCAGCCAGGCAGTGTAATAGCTCTGAGTCCACGCACCTGCAAGCCTGACCCAGCACTTAGGCTCAGCAGAACCAGCGCAGAGCTTCTGTGTTAACCTCCTGGGTGCTGGCAGGCTCTTGGATGACCAAGCGTCACCTATCACACAGCCTTGTTTTCTTGTTACTTTTCTAGGGATTATCAGCAGCCTCACGTGCCCTACTCCCATAGACTCAAAAGTTCTGTTCATGTCCTACAATTTTTTCTTGCAGTATTGCTATGGACATTATTCTGATCCATTGTGACATGGTGTGTTGAGGATCTCAAAAACAAGAGGGACCCAAAAAGCAAGAGTGTCTCAATCTGTGTCCTAAGTGACACATGTGACTATACTGCCTAAAAGGCGGGGTCTGGTGTCCAGAGTTAAAATTTTGATGTTTCGAGAAAAATACAAGAATGGGTGACTTGAAAAAGGCTTACAAGTTAAATCTCATGTGCACATCCAGGAAGTGGCTAGTTCTACTTTTTTAAGCCCACCATTGGCAAGGATTGTAACCACAGCTATTGCTTATGTGAGGTAGGACATCATCTATAGGAATTGAGTGCTGTGCATGTGTCCAGCATTGTATGGTTAAGAAAATACCTTCCTGGACACTGAATCGATCCCCACAGCCTCAGGATGTGGGGGTCATGCTCCATTTCCCAGGTAAGTAATTTAAGCATTTGAAGAGACTGGCTTTTAACTAGTTACTGGTAGAGCCAGGACTTGGAACCAAGGCTTTATGACAAATAGGACTCTTCTGCCTGTTTGGACTCCAAATTAAATGTTCTTGCCTCTAAAGCATCCCCACCAAAACCAACCCTTCCTTTGAGGAGGCAGAGAATGTAAGCGTTGCCTTTTCCCAGGAGTAAGTACTGCCCCTCTGCAAGGCATGCAGGTCTGTGCGGAAGCATGTTGCTAATGTGTCCTCCCTCTCTCTGCCTCTCTCCAAGGCGGGGAACACGGCTCTGCACCTGGCCTGCCAGAACAGCCACTCCCAGAGCACACGCGTCCTCCTGTTGGCCGGGTCCCGCGCTGACCTCAAAAATAACGTGGGTGAACAAAACCGGCTTCTCACACTCTCTCTTTCTTGTGTCACTTCAGAAAATAACTTCATGAGCATACTTGAACCTTAATGTCTCGAAATTAAAATGTAAAAAGTGTTTAGGGACTATCTCTAAAGTGTTCTCTTTTTTTTTTTTTGCCAATTTTCTAAGGGGTCATTTAGGCACACGAGAAGAGGAATCAATAGATTTGGAAATACTGCTTTTCTCCCATCCTTTTCCCTTCGTGCTTCAACTTTAGTTTATCATTTCTTACAGCACATGTCTGGCCAATGAAAGACTAGGAAACCAGTTAATGTTTTAAGAAAGTCTCTACCCACATAGAGTGTTGTACTATTACCAGCATATGTGAGTTGGCGCCATTTACGGGGAAAGGTCCTCTGATACCCCATGCCCAGCATCTACAGTGAGCAGGTCCTATTGATTACTGAGGCACCCTTGGGATGAGCTAACCAGAAACGTCACGTGGGTATCACTTCTTCCTCCATAAAGAAGATGTATTTCCTTTATAAATCCCTTGCCTTAGCCACATTGGCAAAAAAAAAAAAAAAAAAAAAAAAAAATCTGAGTTTTTTTCTAAAGTGGCCTCAGCTGAGGTCTCCCTGTTTGGGGTAGCCCTCATCTAACTCATCTAAGCTCTGAACCTCAGCTTTGAGCTTGGTTCCATCTTAATGCAGGGGAGGAAAGTATGCCATGTGGCCAACATTCTCCAGACAGAGCTAGCATGGAAACGGGAAGAGAACACTGCAGGCAGCTTTTTGTCTCCAGTTCTTTATTGTCTTTCTGGGAGCAGGATTCTACCTGCTGTGCTTACTGAGGATCCTGCCCTGAGTTTTCCTTCATGCCCTTTTTTGCTCCCAGTGATTGCTTCCTTATCAGCTCCCCCACTACATAGCTTCATATAGGATGTTAAGGTCCAAAGTTGGATACTCCTTGAATTTCCGGGGGCATATGTGATCTTAAGATTTGACAACCCTCCTGCTGCCCTGTCCTTTCATCCATAAGAGATCTGTGCTGGGAAGGGCTCATTTCCAAAGCAATGCGGTTAGTCTTAAGTCAGTGTATTATAGACCTTTTGGGTTGTAGGGAGCCCAGGGTCACTGGATCCTCTTCAAGCACTGGGTAAGCAGAGCCTGCCTCAGCTCTTGCGAAGGTCTCGTGGGGAGCAGATGTCTAGTTTCATAAACATGAAAGCAGTGATTCTGTGACCATTGGTTGTTCTGCACAGGCAGAAAAGGAGCAAGGCTGCCCACAGCAGTCACAGCAGCAAAGGACGGCAAGCCTTGGCATCTATGTTAAAAGAGCTGCTATGGTTTCCTAAAGAGTATATGATAGTCTGCCACCTTTTAAATAATATTTTCTTTCTACTTTTCTCTATTTTTTTTTGTAACTGCTCAGATTGTGCTTAGAGTTTGATTTCTGTTCGCAGGCAGGAGACACCTGTTTGCACGTTGCTGCGCGCTATAATCACTTGTCCATCATTAGGCTCCTCCTCAGTGCTTTCTGTTCTGTCCATGAAAAGAACCAGGTCAGTGCATGTTTCCTCTTCATGGCTGCCAGCATCCTTCCCACAAGGCTACCGGACAGGTGTGTTAGTGCAAATGGGAGAAGAGGCTGCTGGGAAGTGCTGCCATTTCACCTATCTGGGACTCCACCAGCTCTGGGCTTTGCATGGGTGTCCCCCTGAGTTCTAGTGGCCCTGGCTTATCTGGCCTCCTAGAGAAAGTGTGCCCTTATAATTCCTGTACATATCACCACATTTGCATATTGAACCTTTTCTGGAGATCCTGGGGCAGGCTTTGTTTTTTAAATATGATTTTAAAAAGAAAACCCACAAGGAAGAATGTGATTTAGTAAAGAAGCAAGGGAGCCCAGGCACGGTGGCTCACATTCCAGCATTTTGGGAAGCTGAGGCAGGAGGATCACTTGAGGCCAGGAGTTCAAGACCAGCCTGGGCAACATAAGGAGACCTTGTGTCTACAAAAAAAAAATTTTTTTTTAATGTGGCCGGGCGTGGTGGCTCATGCCTGTAATCCCAGTGCTTTGGGAGGCTGAGGTGGGTGGATCACTTTGAGCTCAGGAGTTTGAGACCAGCCTGGCCAACATGGTGAAACCATGTCTCTACAAAAAATACAAAAATTAGCTGGGCATGGTGGCATGCACCTGTAATCCCAGCTACTAAGGAGGCTGAGGCAGGAGAATCACCTGAACCCAGGAGGCAGAGGTTGCAGTGAACCGAGATCACACCACTGCACTACAGCCTGGGTGATAGGGCGAGACTCTGTCTCAAAAAAAAATAATAAATACATTAATTTAAAAAATAAAAATTATCCAGGCAGTGTGGCATATACCTGTAGTCCCAGCTACTCAGGAGGCTGAAGTGGGAGGATTGTTTTGAGCCCAGGAGTTCAAAGCTGTGGTGAGCTGTGATCTTGCCACTGCACACCAGTCGGGGTGACAGAATGACACCCCGTCTCTCTAAAGCAGAAAGAAAAACACCAAGCAAACATATAAAGTCTTATGACTCCCTGAGTTCTGTTTTCTTTCTTAAAAAAGAAAAACACCAAGCAAGTAATTAAAAGTCTTATGACTCCCTTTCTTCTGTTCCTTGTACTGCTACTCACTTACAATTGAGCTGATAGAGTCTTTCATTTCTGTATATTGGGTACATAGTCTATAGATAGTGCCATGTAATGGGGTTTTGAAATAAAGCTCTGAGTATTACAGTCTTCCTTGGAAATGTGCACATTTTCTAGCAGTCATTGGATTTAAAAAATAGATTGTCTTGGTATTTATTGATACCTATATGGTACATTGTTTGGCTTTTCTTTGTTGAAGTGCATAAATCTGAACTAAAAAAACATTAGATTGTGGTGCAGATTAACATACCATATAATGGTGATTTCTGACCTGGATGCATATGAGAATCAACAGGGGAATTAAAAATACTGTTCCTGGATTCTACCCCAGTTTGAAAGAGCCAGAACTTCTGGGGGTGAGGTCCAGACAATGGTGTTTTTAAAAAGCTCTTTATCTGAGTGTACAGCCAGGATTGAGAACCACTGACCTAATCAAGTAGCTAAGTGTGTCATTCCTAAGTAGGTCATCAGGTGACCCCTCCACCAGTGCCTTTCAGCCTTGGTAGCATGTCACGGCACCTGAGAGCTTTAAAAAGTCCCCCTGCCCAGCCCACATGGCAGACCAATGAATTTAGAATATCTGGGAGTGGGACCCAGGCATCAGCATTTTTTAAAGCTCCAAAGGTTATTCTAGTATTCGGCCAAGGAAAAAGCACTGCTGCAGAGCTTCCTTCAACACACCCAGCTAAGTGACTCAGAAATGAAACATGGCCGGGTGCGGTGGCTCACACTTGGAATCCCAGCACTTTGGGAGACTGAGGCGGGCACATCATAAGGCCAGGAGTTCAAGACCAGCCTGTCCAATATGGTGAAACCCCATTTCTACTAAAAAAAAATTACAAAAACTAGCCGGGTGTGGTGGCGCACATCTGTAGTCCTAGCTACTTGGGAGGCTGAGGCAGGAGAATCGCCTGAACCTGGGAGGCGGAGGTTGTGGTGAGCCAAGATCATGCCACTGCACTCCAGCCTGGGTGACAGAGTGAGACTCTGTCCCAAAGAGAAAAAAAAAAATACAATTTTTCCACCCCTCACAAAGATGACTGAATTTTCATGCTACCCAGGAAAAAAGTATCAGGCACTTTGCCTGATCACCTGATAGGAGAGAGAATGAATTGTTTCACTTCTCCTATATTTGTCTGGTTTATTTATATCATCATGTTTGGGAAATGACAGCATTTGCATTTGGAGTGGGCCCACTGAGCTGCAGTTGTCTTTATCCTTTTCTCAGAGTTGATTTTGTGAAAGCATATTTTTTTGTATAAAGATAATGTGAGCACTTATTTATAGGCTATCTGTAAGATGTAGAAAACAGTTGGTCTTAAGCGAACACTGGTTCTTGGTGTTTCCACCCGCACAAAGCATATCCTGAGCCTGCAGATGGATTGAGTCCCAGTGGCCCCTTCAGATCTACCCACCATAGCTGCAGGCCAGCCTGTCACCTCTCCAGTGCTTGCAGAAGTAGCCGTCTTCACAGCTTCTCCTGCTCAATCTAGCAGTGGGACACCAAGCAGTTTTTCTGACCTCTGACCTCCTTGAGTAAAAGAGTCAAAAGTGGAATGACTAGCCTGTCCACCCCAGGCCTCCCGCCTGTCCTCATGTCTTTGTGAGGCTTCAGGTCCTACCATTCTCAGCAACTCCAGGCCAGCATTACTCTGCCCCTGCGTTTAATCCTGCTCTGTGATTTTAGATATCCCCACTCAGAAAGAAAGATGATACTAGTGCCGAGGTCACTCAGTTCCAAGATCTCCTTAAGTACTCATGATGCTTTAACAAAGGGCCCTATTTTGGTCTCAGGCAAATCTCAGTTTGACTTTGAAGAGCCACACCTAGGCCAGGTAATGAAAAGTTGAGGGCTGTAGGCCATGAGCAGATGGGGTTTAGCAGGCCTTCTAATCAATTCCAGGCTGGAGACACAGCACTTCACGTTGCTGCTGCCCTAAATCACAAGAAAGTGGCCAAAATCTTACTGGAAGCCGGAGCAGATACGACCATTGTTAACAATGTAAGTTGAGTTGCAACGTTGCTTTCTGAAGTGGTTCCCACCCCTTTCCAGAACGAGAGGTGTGTTGTTAGAACTAAACCCCTGCAGACCCTTGGGCCCAGCGCATTTGGAAGAAGGGGGATCTCTGCTGGAACCACAGCCCCTGGGGCCATTGGGGTGGACTTGAAGGGAACCCATGCTCTGAGCAGCCCCAGGAATTGACAAGCCTGCTGTTAGCCACCTAGCTGCAGTGAGCACAACCTGGCATGAAAAGGAACTCAGGGATGTCCTGGTAAACTGACAAGTGGATGCTATCCAAAGTGAGTTCCAGGCTGTAAATGTATGTGGTGCTCAGAAAAATGGCCACCTGGCCCTCAGATTAATCAGCCTCAAAATTCTAAGCCAACTCCTTTTTCTTTCACTTTACCTGACCTCACTGTTTTCCTCCTCCGCTACTGTGTGTCCTACAGATCCTAGAGCAAGCGCCAACTCAGGTGCACTTTCTTCTTCGAGGCCACCCTGCAGTCTCTTCCTTTCTGAATGGCTCAGCGGGGCCTGGAGGGTGCAACAGCTGCTGTGTGGAGGTGTTTTTGAGGGGGGTGGCCTGGGACTGCTGACGCTGGCACAGGCTCTCAAGCCTCCTTGGCTCCTATATCTAGCTTCCCTCTTCTTCCTCCTGCCTTCTCATAGCTCTATAACCAGTACTGGGGGCACAGTTAACTCTTCCATGATGCCTTGAATATCTTCCATTTGCTATCAACTCCTGGGTTTTGGCTTCGTCTCCTGATAACTTACATTATGGCTATAACTTGTAATTGCTTTTCATATTCCACTTCCTGAAACTCTGGCCAGGCCCTGATCTGCCCCTTCAGCATCTTCCCACTGTTTTCCAGGGGAGGTAAATCACTGGGCTGGACCTCAGATCTTCTGTGGTGTTTCCCCAACTGAAACATTCCCCCTGGATGCCATCTGAGTGCTACCTTCCCTCCCCTCTTTTCTGGGAAGCACTCCTTGGTGGATGGTGCCCAGGCCTTGGCCTCCTAAAGCACTTCTTGCTCCCTTGGTCTGCCCTTGCCCTCTGGCCATGTATTTTACTGAGGGTGTCCTCTGGTGTGACCCAGCGCTCTCATTGGAGGGTCTAAGGCTGATGCTCAGGGCCATATCACATAGGTGGCTGTGTTTTGCCAGGTAGGTGCTGGGTGTAGGTGGGTGTGGAACTGCCTGCTTCTGGCCAGAGCTGTGCCAGCTGGGCTATGTGTGTGCAGGGCCAGTGGCCCTTTCTCACCTGTCCTCCTCTGCCTCTCCTCAGGCAGGCCAGACTCCGCTGGAGACTGCCCGCTACCACAATAACCCGGAAGTTGCTCTTCTCCTCACCAAAGCTCCCCAGGTAGGATTTACTGCCCTTTCCATGGTAGTGATTATGTGGGGCTACAGAGTTTTGGGACTCCTGGTTGCAGTCTACTGAAGCCACTTCAAACTAACTTAAATAGGGAATGTAACCAGGCAGTGGAGGTGTAAGTATCCATGGGTGCTCAGGATGACAGGAGTCAAAGGCTTCCAGTCCAGCTCTTCATAGCCTGGGCCGCCTCGTCTTCTCCCTGTGGCTGGATCATTGTCACGGCCAGCTGCCTGGGTCATACCTTCCCAGCTACTCAGCCAAGGAAGAAGTTCCAGTTTAAGACATTGCAGGAGAGGACCATGATTGCAGAGTTTAGGCCAAATGCCCATCCCTGAAGAAGTGGGACAGGGACTTTAAGAAGAGAAGGGGCATTCTCCAGAGAAAGGCAGGAGGGAGGGGACCATTCTGGGCAGATAGTCGCCTGCCAGAGACAGTTGAGTACAGTCTAGTTTTCTTTCCTCTTTTACTGAATAATAGTATTTTGACCATCATTTAATTTTTTTCAAATGGTGGCTGATACTTTAGTTGAGGTTGACATTAAGTAACAATAAAGAAATTTAATAATAATTTATAAATTATTCATAATTCTAGCCCCCTGAAACAACTGTTTTTGTTTCATCCAAAAATGGATGAGAAACGTAATTTTTATATAATTGTGCTTACAATGTATATACCCTTTTGTGTTTCTGCCTTTTATCCTATTATAAAACAGTGCTCTGCAGTCTTCATAATTATTCATTACAATGGAGGCATAATATTCTTTTTGTTGCTATTAATATTTTATTAAGCCATTTCCTTAATGATGGACATTTAGGTTATTTCCAGATTGGCACTATTCTGTATTACATTATCGCAAACACTGATTGGCTTTCCATCTTATTCTGCAAGAAAAAGTCTCAGGGAGTCAAAGGAAGATTTTTGAACACCACCCTGCTGCAAAATAACTCGATACCAGCCCAGGGTTTGGAATGGCCTTTATTTCATTTAAATTTTTAAATAATCCCTAATATAACTAGTAGTTTCTGGAAATGTTTAAGATTTGTATCTTTTGCAAAACTGATCACCCTCTTGTGCATGGAGCTCTTTCTTCTAAGTGGTCTCTGGAAGGCCACAGAGCTCCCAACAAAAGGAAGTCGGAAGGAAAAGCCGCGGGGTTTCTACCTCTGGCAGCTTTTATCGTAAGTGGAATCACATCCATGAATCCTGATAGAAAAATGCTAGTCTCTCATGGATCTAAAAGTATGAAGTGCTGTGTAAATGTCAGAACCCATCATATTTCTCTGCCAATTTCAATATGTGGTAATTTAATGGACATCCAGCCCCACCCTCAGCCATACAAAGATCATCAGATCTTATGGGGCTGGAGGGTTCCCCAGGCACAGAAAGATTGACGGATCTTTAATCCACCTGTCATTTGTCTTCCAGAGCCCAAGGATCTTCACTTATAGGGAAAAGACCTTCATGGACCATTTCCCTGTGCAGTTCTTTGTTTCCATTAAAAAAAAAAAAAAAAGACTTAAGCAAGTTTCTCCATGCTTACATCGAATAACAAATAAGTTGGATGACATGCTGTGAAAGTTTATTTTATGCATAATTGTATATGCTGAGCTTTATTCTCAACACAAACAAGGAACTTTATGCATAAAATGTTATGCATACTGTTCTCTTGTTCTATGGCTACAGAAATAGCATTAGTGTTTGCTTTGCCTGAAAAGAGAAAACCCCTTGCCTTAGGCCCATAGTCAGACGTTGATTTTAAATGGGCCACAGCAGTTCTAAGAGGATACTACTTTTTATTTTTTAATTTTTATGTATGTATGTATGTATATATGTATGTATGTATGTTTTTTGAGATGGAGTCTTGCTCTGTCACCTAGGCTGGAGTACAGTGGCACAATCTTGGCTCACTGCAACCTCCACCTGCCAGGTTCAAGCAATTTTCCTGCCTCAGCCTCCCGAGTAGCTGGGATTACAGGTGTGTGCCACCATACCCAGCTGATTTTTGTATTTTTAGTGGAGATGGGATTTCACCATGTTGACCAGGCTGATCTCAAACTCCTGACCTCAGGTGATCCATCCACCTCGGCCTCCCAAAGTGCTGGGATTACAGGCATGAGCCATTATGCCCATCTAGAGAATACTACTATTGGAGGCCTCAAAGTCAATATTCCTTCACTTCTGTGGACTGGAAAAGATTAATGATGTCCCATTGGTAGATGGTCTGGTTTACTGAGAAAGGCTGGAAGCCATGCAGTTATTTTCACTGACTAATAACATGTTGAATGGAGGGAATTTTGCTGACGATTATTTTGGGTTTGGGTGATCTCTGATTGTCACTTGTCATTTTGATTGGTGTGGTTCACAAATGCTCTGAAAGTAAATTTTAGGCTGATTCTGGGGATATTAAGAGTCCATAGGCCAGGTGTGGTGGCTCACGCCTATAACTGCAGCACTTTGGAAGGCAGAGGCGGGCGGCTTACCCAAGCTCAGGAGTTCATGGCCACCCTGGGCAACATGGTGAAACTCTGTCTCTTAAAAAAAAAAAAAAAAAAAGTCCATAAATCAGGTGAGCGATGGATATAGTCACTTTCTTTCGTCATACTTGCCTTCCTGATGAGTCTGAATTTAGCTTTAGAAATGACTCAGGGAAGTGTTTCTCAGACTTTCTGATCTAAGGACTCTTTCATTTTTAACTATTATGGACTAGAGTTTGAAGGTTTCCATCAGCTCAAGGATCTGTACTCTGTTAAACACCCTCTGCCAATTAAGCCACCTGAAGGCAGGTAGGGAGGCCCCTGACAGTCACTGCATGCCAACCACCTATTTTTTCTTGGTTAATCCCAACAACTCCCCATTTTTATTTCTTTTTTAAAAAGACAAGGTCTTGCTATGTTGGTCAGGCTGATCTTAAACTCCTGTCCTCAAGCAGTCCTCCCACTTTGTTCTCCCATAGTGTTGGGATTATAGGCATGAGCCACTGCGCCTGACCCATTTTTACATTTGAGAAGACAGAGCACAGACAGCTCAAATCACTTGCCCAAAGACCCTACAGCCAGTGGCTACTGGGTTCAAACTGAGATTGTTCTGACCCCACATATGTTTCTCTGTGTCCATTCTGTCACTCTGCACTGTAAGAGGCAGAGTAAACGCTTCCTTTTGGGGAAGAGATTTCTGTCTTGTGGTTGGTACTGTGGCTCATAGATACACCTTAATATTTGAATCAAATTGATGTGACTTGGACACAGTTTGGCCAAGGGAACATCTGCTAGGCTAGCTCAGGTCCAGTGTACCAAGATGGAGAGTGAGACTGCCTGGCACGGGGCTGCTGCGTCGCACACCTCCAGGGAACACCCTATATCCTAGTTTATGTGAATGGCACTCCTTGGAGCACAGCCTCTGTGCATGTAGTTGGCAGTCCTGGCCCAGCATCAGTGCCTGTAGTTATTATCATGATAGACTTTAAGCTTCTTGAGGTCAGGGATAATAGCCTACCCATCTCCAAGTCCCTGTGGTGCCCAGGACAAGCCCTAGGATGATGCTAGGTAGTCCGGAGGTGCTTGTTTGATGTGAACACCTGCTCTCACCCTCTAGGCTGTCAGTTCCATTAGGTCAGAGCCCCAGGTCCAGGGAGAATTCTCTCACGTGGATGCTGTGCACACCAGTGGTTGTAACAATGCCGTTTGCCTCCTTCAGGTCTTGCGCTTCAGTCGCGGGCGAAGCCTGAGGAAAAAGAGAGAGAGGCTCAAGGAAGAGAGGAGAGCCCAGTCTGTGCCAAGAGATGAGGTGGCCCAAAGCAAGGTGGGGGGCAGTCCTCCCGCCGTCCCCACGTCCACCCATGTGCAGAGGGTGCGAAACTATCTCCCTGCTTCGGCCGGGCTCACCTGCTGGCTGCCAGGCCCTTCTCTGCCTCTCCTTCTTGCAGGGGCTCTTCAAACCGTTGCCAGTATTTTTCTCTTTGGCTTCACATCCTCCATTCCCCAAGGCTTCAGGCCATGTGCCTCCGTGTGCATTGCCTGTTACCCATCCGGTAGGCGTCGGCGGCATGTTTACCAGCTCAGGTATCTGTGGCCTTTACCCCAGCCCTGTGGGCAGCACTGCCTCTCTGACACTGTGCCCAGATTGTGTAGGGCAGTGGCTGTCAAAATGTGGTGTCCAGTGTGTCACCTGGGACCTTGTTAGATATGCTAATTCTTGGACCTCACCTCAGACCCCTAGGATCAGAAACTTGGGTGGGTGGGGTCCAGCAATCTATGTTGAAACAAGCCCTCCAGTGGACTCTCATGTGGACTAAAATTTGAGAGCCACTGGCATAGTCGCTTCAGGCAGGGGACCAAGGCTATGCCAGCCTATATGGCTCCCTTATAGGAATTAGAAAAAGATGCCCCCTGGGCAGACCCGCCGTGTACAGGGCACACATGGTGAGCAGAGCCCGAGCTGATTTCAGCTCCTCTTGCCCCACACCTCCGCCTCAGCTACGTGCCCTTGTGCTGTGTAAACCCTGCCTTTGTGTTCACTCAGGAGGAAGAAGTCTGGGATATAGAGACAGCTTTTGGCACAGAAAATGTTATCACCAAGTACTTGCTCCTCTATCTGCTATTTCAGAATCCTCTCATTGATTTCCAGTGTTAAGCCATTGCAACTCTGATTAACTTCCTAGGTGTGAATTGTACATATTCAGTTGTGAACGTTCTCACAAGGACCAGAAATATGATATTTTTTCATTTCAAAGGATTATTACTCTTTGCCATGAATTTTGTTGGCAGGGGGTGGTGTCCAAGGTCAAAGAATGAGTGAGTTATGTTTTGTTGAAATGCAAAAGACTAAAAGACTCTAATGCTGACGTGTTTTGTGTTGGGTAGGTTCCTGGTGTTCTACAACATCAAATTAGACCCAGGAATATCTTTAGTTTAGGACCTAGTAAATACAATGAAAGCCAAATGTTCAACCAACCAGGAAAAACATTCTATGTTAGTTAAGATCACCAAGCAGTGTTTCCTATGTCTGAAATTTATCTCATTTGCAGACTTTCCCTTGGGTCTCTTAATAGATGGAATCTTGCAAAGAAAATTTGACCCTATTAGTGAAAAAGGCCAAGGGAGCAAACAGAATAGGTCTCCGGGCTTTTTTCTTCTTTAGGGCAGTGTCTCAGCAGGAGACACCCCCAGCAGTGAACAAGCTGTGCCCAGAAAAGAAGAAGGCAAAGAAGAGTTCCTGTCAGCCTCCCCAGAACCCAGAGCAAAGGATGACAAGAGGAAAAAGTCGAGGCCCAAGGTCAGGAGGCACGGAAAGCAGCCCAGAGGGTGGCTGGGAGGCGAGAGTCCTGGCAGAGTGTCATGCCCATCAGCTAAAAAGCCGCCTCACTTGGCTGGCTGTTTTGGAGCCAGAGCACAGAAATTAAATCTGGCAAGCATCAGACACAAAGTTAATGTGCTGATGTATTTGTTTTGACATGTGTAGCTTGGAGTAGAACACTGTGAGGTGAAACAAAGGGCTCCTTACCCAAACGGGGTGACATGGGCACCACTGACTGGTATCAGTCTTGCAGAGGTCAGAGGGCTCAGAGGTGTCGTCTTTTCCTCTCCCACAGGTGTCAGCATTTTCTGATCCCACCCCACCAGCTGACCAACAGCCTGGACATCAGAAGAACCTGCATACTCATAATCACCCTAAAAAGAGGAACAGGCATCGGTGTTCATCCCCGCCCCCACCCCATGAGTTCAGGGCATACCAGCTGTACACATTGTACAGGGGCAAGGACGGGAAAGTGATGCAGGTACCTGCTAAGCACTGTCAGGAAAAGGAAACTTAGGCGTTCAGCAAGGGTTTTTGTTTAACAGCATTCCTGGGGGCTGATAGCTACTTTAGGCGTCGACTTAGTTAAGCATGAGCTTTTAAGATAAGCCAGATGGCCTCCATACTTGCACAGGACAGATCACTCCTGCTGCCAAGCCAAGGCACACAGAGGTGTAGCTGCAAAGCTTGTTGCACCATCCTCAGGTGACTAGGTATCTTGAGGCCCCAGGGTGTATAAAAGCAGCTTGAGGAGGGGCCAAATCTTACCCTCTGAATCTTCTTAGTGATTACTGCCCTCAAAGCTTGGCCTATAGGATGCTCCAAAGTTATGACAAGGAAGAGCCTGTCTCTTCCATCATCTCTATCCCCTGGTATACTGCCTGGCACATCGTGGGTGCTCAAAACATACTTGAGGGAATGAACAAGGGATTGATTCCTTTTTTCTTTCTTCTTAGGCACCAATAAATGGTTGTCGATGTGAACCTCTTATCAACAAGCTGGAGAATCAGTTGGAGGCTACTGTGGAGGAGATAAAAGCAGAGCTGGGATCGGTTCAGGACAAAATGAATATGAAGCTGGGGCAGATGGAGAATAAGACCCAGCACCAAGTACGTCATTAGGCCCAGCCTCCTAATTGCAAGGTGTTCTGGCAGAACATGAACTCAAGAGCAGACTTTGACTTTAGCATACCCTTCCACCCTGGGAGTGTCTGGTGGGCTGTCAGGGAAGAGCCCTGCTTCTGCTTATGTGATTCTGTTAAAGCACATTTATTTCAGCTTTTTAAAGAACATGTTTAAATTGCTTCTTATAAAAGTAAGATATCCCCATTACAGAGCATTTTTAGACATGAAAATTAGGAAAATAGATCACCTATAATCCCACTGTGCTGGAAAAGCACTATTAATATTTGAGTTTAGGCCAGGAGTGGTAGCTCACACCTGTAATCCCAGCACTTTGGGAGACCAAGGCGGGCAGATCACCTGAGGTCAGCAGTTCGAGACCAGCCTGGCCAATATGGTGAAGCCCCACCTCTACCAAAATTAGCCTGGTGTGGCGGTGCACACCTGTAATCCCAGCTACTCAGGCGGCAGAGGCACGGGAATCACTTGGACCTGGGAGGTGGAGGTTGCCGTGAGTGGAGATTGCATCACTGCACTCCAGCCTGGGCAACAGAGCATGACTTGCCTTAAAAAAAAAAAATTGGGGTTTCTTTTCTTCCAGTCTTTTTATATGTCAGTTTTTGCTACACTCCTTCCCCATTGCATACAAAATTAGAATAATTATGTCTGTAGTTTTTTTCTTTTCCCAGATTTTTTTTTGAAAGTTGTCAAATATAACAAAAGAGTTCACAGAATAATGGAATGAATGCTCGCATATAATCCCTGCAGTCAGCCAGTTAATATGTTGTTACATGTGCCTTGTGTCTCTCACACATATTTTTTTTTCCTCTTGAACTATTTCAGATTTAGTTGCAGCCTGTCCTGACAGGGCACCTCCATATTTCAGAATGTTTAGAATAACACTTTCAACTTCATAACAACAATATTGTTTTCACACCTGAGAAAATGTCATCCATTCCATATTCAGATTTTCTTAGTTTTCGTAAAATAATATTTTTTTATAGCTCTTTTTTTTTTTTTTCTTGAGATGGGGTCTCACTTTGTCACCCAGGCTATAGTACAGTGGTGATCTTGCCTCACGACAGCCTCCGCCTCCCGGGTTCAAGCAATTCTCCCGCCTCAGCCTCCTGAGTAGCTGGGACTAAGGCAGATGTCACCATGCCCAGCTAATTTTTGTGGTTTTTTTGTAGAGTTGAGGATTCACCATGCTGGCTAGGCTGGTCTCAAACTCCTGGGCTCAAGCAGTCCGCCTGCCTCAGCCTCCCAAATTGCTGGGATTATAGGCATGAGTCACCATGCCCTCCCCAACCCTTTTTTTTTTTTTTTTTAAGTTTTTGCCAAATTGATTAAGGACATTTTACTAAGTTTTATTTCCTTGTTTACTGATAAGATTAAACATTTTTAAGACTTATTTTCTATCTGTATTTTATAGAAAGGCCATTTTAAAAGTCTTTTCTTAGGGCCATCATAGATTTGTGCATACCTTTGTGTGCACAAAACTCCACTTCGCCTAGCCTAAGCTCAAAGAGGAATGAGATATGAATGCTGGGATACCTTACGGGCCTCGTTTCAGTTCAAGGAAGTGACAGATTGGGGTATAGAATCTTAGTCCTCATTCCAAATCACAGAGAAAGGACCCTGGTACCCTTGAGTCAGATGTTCATACCTGAGCCAATCAGTGTGACCTGTGAACAAAGCAATGTATATCTACGGCTGCTCTTGAAAACAGCCACCTGGAGGAAGAGGTTAGGGGAGCGGGGAGAGTAGGCCAATCCTAGAAAACAGGAGGAGCACAGTTCACAGGAAAACATGGGCTGAAAAGAAAAACAGAATGTGCTCACCACGTCTCCAGAACCGATGTTTATTTTTTCTTAATGTAGAATGCCGCGTATGTCCCTGACAGGAGAGGAGGTCACCAGTGAGCCTTCGTGGATTGGCTCTTCCTAACAATAGTTCCTTTCATTCTTTGGTCCTTGTCAAAGCAGTGAGTTTGGCCCTTCTAGGTGTGGAGGTCTTACAGGAAATGCCAAGATGAAGGGGACTCCAGAAAGGCATGTGATTGAAAAGTGACAACTGCTTATTCTCTGAAGCAGTTCTTTAAGTTCCTTCTACACTCTTCTTACATACTTTAGCTACTTCCAGTGAAGCACCAAAAAATATTTGCTCACTGGAAAAGCTGGATAAAAGGTCATTTTACTGTCTCATAGGCAACCACTAACATTTTTTAAAGTCGGGGTTGGGGAAGAGAGTCTCTATAATTTGAGATGTAGTTTTTTCCATACAGTAGTCTGGGAAATAATGTTTTAAGCCCTTCAAGGCCTGCATGGGCTCAAGTTGTGTGTTTACTGCATATTCGTATTCTTTTGTTTTTGAGATGGAGTCTTGCTCTGTCACCCAGACTGGAATGCCGTGGTGTGATCTCGGCTCACTGCAACCTCCACCTCCCAGGTTCAAGCAATTCTCCTGCCTTAGCCTCCCGAGTAGCTGGGACTACAGGCATCCGCCACCATGCCTGGCTAATTTTTGTATTTTTAGTAGAGATGGAGTTTCACCGTGTTGGCCAGGCTGATCTCAAACTCCTGCCCTCAGGTGTTGGGATTATAGCCCACCATGCCTGGCCTGCATATTCATAGTCTCTTAAACCTCTTAAACTTTAACAAATGAGATTTTTTAAAAAAAGAAATATTGGCCTCATAGAAACATGCTCAAGAATTCTGAAAAAGTTCCATGAGTCCTATATGCAAATGGAATCAGATGAGAAGTTGAAGCTGGCATGCAGGGCCTCCTACTTGGTTCCCCTGAGCCCCTCTGCAGGAGCTGAGAAACCAGGGCTCACCCTGAGATCATCTCAGTCCTGCACTATGCTCCCCTTGACTCCTAGATGCGTGTTTTGGACAAGCTGATGGTTGAGAGACTCTCTGCAGAGAGGACAGAGTGCCTGAACCGCCTGCAACAGCACTCAGACACACAGAAGCATGAGGGAGAGAAACGACAGGTAGGAACCAGTATCTGCCAGTCCTTAACTTATGATTTACCACGCAGGCCCATTGAGCTCAGGCAGACCGGCCACTGAAAACTCAGAGGCTGAGACTCCCTGAGAGCTTTTGCATTATATAGTGTATCATTTTTATAATCCTGAGATGAGGTTAGTAGAAAATAACCTGTAGTTCTGTTTATGTCCATGGCAGAGTATGCTGGCAACAGATGAAGACTGAACATGCTGGGGAAGATGCCATTTCTGCCCCAAACTAACTCCATGTATTGTGCATTTGTTAGGCCATTACAGTTTTAGAACAAGACATAGTTTCTGCCCTCAGGGAGCTTACTGTCTCACCAAGATAACAGACATGGAATGAGTAGAGGTGATTGTGTGAGAACTCATGCTTCAAAGCAGCCAGAAGTACTTGATTTGGAAGATTTGGGTGTCTTTGGGTGGCTGAGTTTAAGGTGGCTCTAAGTCACTTAGTGAAGATTGTAGATAGCTCTCTGCTTGGGTGCCTGCTGTAGCCTATAAAAGAGTGGCTTCGGCTGTGTTGCTATAAAGGAATACCTGAGGCTGGGTAATTTATAAAGAAGAGTTATTTCACTAATGGTTCTGCAGGCTGTACAAGAAGCATGGTGCCAGCATCTGCATCTGGTCAGGGCCTCAGGAAGCTTTTACTCATGGTAGGGTGAAGGGGAGCTGGTGTGCACAGATCACCTAGTGAGATAAGAGGCAAGAGAGACAGGAGGGAGGTGCCAACCAGCTCTTTCAAAAACTAATAAAGCAAGAACTCACTAACCGTGAGGATAATACCAAGCCAGTCATGAGGCATTCAGCCCCGTGACAAAACACTTCCCATAAGGCCCCACCTCCAACATTGGGGATCAGATTTCAATGAGATTTGGAGGGGTCAGATATCCAAACTATAGCAGTGGGCAAGCCATAACTTCTTGGGTTTGTTAGGTGATATCCTCAACTGTTAGAATTGAAAAGTCCATCCTTGAGGCTTTAATTCATAAACCATGTATCAAATTCATTCATTCATTCATTCATTCATTTATTTATTTATTTTAAGATATCCTTGGTGGATGAATTAAAAACCTGGTGCATGTTAAAGATTCAGAATCTGGAGATGAAGCTTTCTGGAGATTCTAGGGCCTCCAGAGCTAAATCCACACCATCAACTTGCGAGTCCTCTACAGGTAACCCACATACAGAGAGCCCTTTTGTCCAAAAGGAATACAACCAGCAGCTCTTGTTCTCTCCAGCATTGAAAGGCAGTCCAGGCCGGGTACAGTGGCTCACGCCTGTAATCCCAGCATTTGGGGAGGCCAAGGTGGGCAGATCACCTGAGGTTGGGTGTTTGAGACCAGCTTGACCAACATGGAGAAAACTTGTCTCTACTAAAAATACAAAATTAGCTGGGCCTGGTGGCACATGCCTGTCATCACAGCTACTTGGGAGGCTGAGGCAGGAGAATCGCTTGAACCCGGAGGTGGAGGTGGCAATGAGCAGAGATCACGCCATTGCACTCCAGCCTGGGCAACAAGAGCAAAATTCCGTCTCAAAAAAATAAATAAATAAAAGGCAGTCCTTATGATAGGACTGTGGGAAACACTGGATGGTAGGGTGCACTCTGTAGGGGCAAGGACTATATTTTACTCATAATCATATACTCAGTTGCTATATAGTAATAAAGCATTCTCATTTATGTTCTCAAGCTTATTTGAGTAAAGGAATTAGGAAATTGTTGATTGGTGTTAACATTGCTTTGAGTACCATATTGATAAGAGGTGATGAAGATCTATTGGCCTCCTCAGCAGGGCTCTTCCTCCCTTGCCTTCTGCCTTATACCCCTTTCTTCTCTTTGATCTGCCTTTTACTTTTGTCCACCTATGCAAATCCTCATTAAATAGCAAGTTCTTTCTTTTTTTATTGCATTTTAGGTTTTGGGGTACATGTGAAGAACATGCAAGATTGTTGCATAGGTACACACATGGCAGCGTGATTTGCTGCCTTCCTCCCCTTCACCTATATCTGGCATTTCTCCCCATGGTATCTCTCCCCAACTCCCCACCCCTTGCTGTCCCTCCCCTATTTCCCCCCAGTAGACCCCAGTGTGTGATGCTCCCCTCCCTGTGTTCTCATTGTTCAACACCCACCTTTGAGTAAGAACATGCGGTGTTTGATTTTCTGTTCTTGTGTCAGTTTGCTGAGAATGATAGTTTCCAGGTTCATCCATGTCCCTACAAAGGACATGAACTCATTTTTGATGGCTGCATAATATTCCATGGTGTATATGTGCCACATTTTCCCTGTCCAGTCTATCATCGATGGGCATTTGGGTTGGTTCCATGTCTTTGCTATTGTAAACTGTGCTGCAATGAACATTCTTGTGCATGTGTCCTTATAGCAGAATGATTTATAATCCTTTGGATATATACCCAGTAATGGGATTGCTGGGTCAAATGGAATTGCTATTTCTAGGTCCTTGAGAAATGGCCACACTGTCTTCCACAATGGTTGAACTAATTTACACTCCCACCAACAGTGTAAAAGTGTTCCTATTTCTCCACATCCTCTCCAGCATCTGTTGTCTCCAGATTTTTTAATGATCACCATTGTAACTGGCGTGAGATGGTATCTCGATGTAGTTTTGGTTTGCATTTCTCTAATGACTGGTGATGATGAGCATTTTTTTATATGTTTGTTGGCCTCATGTATGCCTTCTTTTGTAAAGTGTCTGTTCAGCCGGGCGCGGTGGCTCAAGCCTGTAATCCCAGCACTTTGGGAGGCCGAGGCGGGTGGATCACGAGGTCAACAGATCGAGACCATTCTGGTCAACATGGTGAAACCCTGTCTCTACCAAAAATACAAAACATTAGCTGGGCATGGTGGTGCGTGCCTGTAATCCCAGCTACTGAGGAGGCTGAGGCAGGAGAATTGCCTGAACCCAGGAGGCGGAGGTTGCGGTGAGCCGAGATCGTGCCATTGCACTCCAGCCTGGGTAACAAGAGCGAAACTCCATCTCAAAAAAAAAAAAAAAAAAAAAAAGTGTCTGTTCATATCCTTCACCCACTTTTGAATGGGCTTGTTTGTTTTTTTCTTGTAAATCTTGAACAGCAAGTTCTTACATCGAACTTGCCCCCAGTGCTGGACAGGAAGTGCTGCAAGCACATCTTGACATTAGCCACAGTGGTCATACTCAGTGGTAATTTTGAGGACATTCAGAGCCTGGGTAACTAGGCCTCAATGGGAGATTTTGATATAAGTGTTTTATGTTATCACAGGCCATCTCTGGAACTGTGGTTTCATCTTTGTGCCAACAACATGGGGAAACATCCCCGGAAAATGTTTCAAGCTAGGACTACCCTTGGAGCTTGTCATGGCGCTCTGGGTGTGGAAAATGGGGCCTCCTTTCCAAATTGGAGCTTGGGTCAAGCAATTAGTTACAGAATAGTCCCAGAATTAGAGAATGGGAATACATATTCTCATAGATAAATGTCCAAATCTGCTTTGAGACACTTGGTGAGCTGCATCATCCTTAGGCATCAGGAAACAGGACCTAGAACCTCCTCGGGTAGATTGAGACAGGATAAAGGAAAAGCCAGCAACTTTTTTTGCTTAAATGATACCAGTGTGGCTAACACAGAATCCATGAAAGCCCTGACAAGCCAAAATGATCATCAGAGGAGACAAAGTGGAAGGGAGGAACAGAAAAGTGCGAAAAAGCTCACAGGAGACGTTACACATGGTGGGTGGTGATGGCAAAGGCTGGTGATCTACAGGATCCTTAGGACTCACAAATACTGACCCACAGCCACATGACTATGTGAATGTGGATTTGCTCTCACGTTTGTTTTCCTTCTGAAACCAGGTGTGGATCAGTCAGTGGTGACTGCAGGTCCAGCAGCAACTTCTGACAGCTCCCCTCCAGTGGTTAGGCCCAAGGAAAAGGCCCTCAACTCCACTGCTGCCCAGAGACTCCAGCAGGAGCTGTCGTCTTCTGACTGCACAGGCTCCCGACTGAGGAATGTCAAGGTCCAGACAGCCTTGCTACCCCTGAATGAGGCAGGCAGATCTGATCAGCAGGCTGGGCCCTGCGTCAACAGAGGCACTCAAACTAAGAAGTCTGGGAAGAGTGGGCTGACAAGGCATCGCACCCAGCAACCTGCAGCCAGCAGCACCTGTGGGCAGCTGCCACCAGCGGGAGGCGAGCAGACTGGCCCTCACATTCGGGACACCTCCCAAGCTCTGGAGCTTACCCAGTATTTTTTTGAGGCTGTTTCTACCCAGATGGAAAAGTGGTATGAAAGGAAGATTGAAGAAGCACGAAGCCAAGCAAATCAGAAAGCCCAGCAAGACAAGGCTACTTTGAAGGAACACATTAAAAGTTTAGAAGAGGAACTTGCTAAACTAAGGACTAGGGTGCAGAAGGAAAATTAGTACCAATAAAGTGGAAACAAGAAAGGATTCTTGAAGATTTCCAGTTTTGCAACTGCTTAGTAGTTATGCCCAAGGCGTCAACTATTGTATATATTGCAGATTTGCCTTTTAAAAAAAATCACTAATTTCTACAGTGTGCCAGATACATGTTTCCTATGCCCGGAAGTTATGAAGGCCTCAACAATTAAACTGAAACCAGGGGAAGCTTGCTTAGTTTTGGGTTTAAGCCTCAGTCCAGGTTCATCTGAAGTTTGAAAGCTCAGATTAAGCAAGCCATGCCAAGAAACCAAATGATGTGTAAGCCTAGACTCTAAAATTCAAGATGTGTGAAATAATATAAGTCAAAAGCAAGAAAAACTTAATCCCATCTGAACTCCAGTAGTCATTCATATAAATTTGAACACACCTGCTGTGCCTAGACAAGTGTCTTTCTCTAAGAGAGCTGTAACTCTGAGATGTGCTAAGTAAACCCTCCTTCTCAAATTCATAATTCTCAAAATGTTGACTATTAACCACATGAAAAGTTACCAGATTTTTGAGGAGAAATGTTTTCATGATGTCACAAGATCTAATATATCTTATGATAAAATTTATTGAAAAGTCAGTTAATTTAGATAATGAATAATTAGCTAACAGCTCCGAAAACAATGAGATCAAACAAGAAAGATTCAAATTGATCATTTCTGTATTTTCAGTCAAAAAATCAATTATAGTGATTTTAAAGCAAATTAATGGAAGAAACATTCACGTAACAATTACCTGAAAATTTGTAACCTATTCCTAATCAAACCCAATTATATCAGAGTACCTTTCTGAATTTGAGATTATTGCTCTACATTTTATAAAGAATAAGGCTATTTTTTTGAAAGTATTTCATTTTGAATTAAACTGTCGTTAAAGAACCTCAGAACCTTTCTACTGCTTTGCGGTGACTATGTCAAGGCAACATACTCCATAACAACTTAGGCCTCACTGTTCCCCAGCTTCATGGAGGCCTGAAGACTTGATTTTGCTTCGTAATGAAATATAAGCGCAGACACAAAGTTGTAAAAGTAGCTTGGATATGTTGAAACTTTGGACCACTTCTTGTCCTTTGGAATGTGGGATTTATATTCATCTCCTCAATATCCCATGTATGCATAGAAACTTCAGTTCTATTTCTATAAACACAGGAACCTAGTGACTATGGAACGTAATTGTGAATAAAATGCTGCTCATTGAGCCAAAGAGAAAAAATGACTTACTGACATGGAGGCACCAAGAAAAACAAAGTATTCTTTTATTTCCTTTGTCAAGCTCACAGTTTTGGGGATTTTTTAATAGTGACAATCCATAGATATAGACATTCCTAAAAGAAAAAAAAAAAGTAATTCAGTAGATATGTCACTGTTATAGAACCAATATGGAATGAATTTGATGTTTTTGTTTGATTTTGTTGAGACAGGGCCTTGCTCTGTCGCCCGGACTGGAGTGCAGTGGCATGATCACAGCTCACTGCAACCTTGGCACCCCAGGCTCAAGCGATCCTCCTGCCTCAACCTCCCAAGTAGCTGGAACTACAGGCGTGCACCACCATTCCCGGCTAATTTTTTGTAGATATGGGGTCTCACTATATTGCCGAGGCTGAATTTGATGTTATTTCAAGCTGATTTTCATGTGCTTGTGAGCTTGTCTTATTTCTCAACCACTATGCAGGTAGACAGTCTTCCCCCAGAGACTCACTAGATTGCAGTATAGAGGCACTTCCTCATTTCCCAGTTGTTCCTAATACAGAATTGTAGAGCTGGAGAGTACCTTCAGTTTTCTAAATCTGTTCCTAAACAGGATATCATTAACCTCTTTAGAATTATTCCTCAATATACATCAGTTTATTGAGAACTGCCTAATACTCAAAGAAATGAAATCCTGAGTTCAGTAAGCTGTGTTCCAAGCAGGAATTATTTTCACTTACGAAAATATCTCCTATTACCTCAAGGTATCCTTGTTGAGAAATGCCGAAAACTAAATTATCAAGTCTAGACCATAGAGTGCTTTGGTGGGAGTATTTTGATTATAAAACTCCTACCCATCAGAAGCAGGCAGCTAATATTGTGAACTGAGTATTTTTGTCAAAAGTCACAGAGAAGAGACCAGAGAATGAGAAAGGTCAAATGGACCTAGTGTGGCTGACTACATGATCTTTTCTCTTGGAAGTCTGTTGTAGAAGAGAAAACACCCAGAGGTGAAGAAACAGAATAGGCTCAGTCAGCATCCTTACCCAGAGATGACGGTATCTCTATTAAGACCAATGCAATACCTTTTCATCTTCAACAAATGTTGTTCATCTGTTTTTGATCCTTGGCATTGTCAAAAACTTAACTGCAGGTCCAGTGTATAGTTTTCCTTATTTTTCCCTTTTAGCTATCTGCTAAAATGAGTAAATGCCACAACTGTACTTTTCCAAAGAAACAGAACTATTGACAATGTATAGCTTGTCATGCAGGTCATGGTTCAAACCGAGGCTGAAACTTTCAACAGCTGTGGAAAAAAAAATAATGTGAAACACAGCAACATTGTACAATATTAGTGTTTTTTTAAAGAAATTGTTAGTGCATTATTGTATTGAGTATACTAAATATCTGTAATAGAGTAAATATATTAGTTCTAATCTTACTTTTGATTTTGGGAGCCCAAAATAGTGTTGCTTTCATGGTTATACCTTGTGTGTGAAGTCAGGTGTTCATGAGGCATGTTATGTGTCTTCTAGTCAATATTTTTATCACCTCGAATTTGTGTCTCTTCCAAGCATTAAACTTTAAGATACTGTGGATCTTAAATTCCTTATTAAAAAAATGAAAGTGTGAATATGTTGTTTAGCTTATATTTTCATTTGTTGTGGTTGACCACATTTTATGGCTCCTGAGACCACCCAGCTACACTTTACCTTTTATCTATAAAAGTGTAATTCAGAGTAAATACATTGGCTATAAAGTCGAGATCAGGTGCTCTCCACCAAAAGCAAAACAAAACTGCTGAAATGTGGCAAGGTTTCTCAGTGCAAGCCTAAATGTTTAAACTGTTGACCATTTGGACATTACTGGACAAAGGGGAGGGACAAAACATCATCTGCAGTAGTTACTAACAGTAGTTGGTATATACTGCAGTAGTATACCAACGTTATACCTTTTGACTAAGTTAATTCTTAAATGCATTTCTTCTTGTGAAGTGTGGCTAATAAAAGCCAGAGACAAAACCAGTTTGAAAAACTAACCTTTTAGGCCAGGCGCGGTGGCTCAAGCCTGTAATCCCAGCACTTTGGGAGGCCGAGGCGGGTGGATCACGAGGTCAAGAGATCGAGACCATCCTGGTCAACATGGTGAAACCCCGTCTCTACTAAAAATACAAAAAACTAGCTGGGCATGGTGGCGCGTGCCTGTAATCCCAGCTACTCAGGAGGCTGAGGCAGGAGAATTGCCTGAACCCAGGAGGCGGAGGTTGCGGTGAGCCGAGATCGCGCCATTGCACTCCAGCCTGGGTAACATGAGTGAAACTCCGTCTCAAAAAAAAAAAAAGAAAAAAGAAAAACTAACCTTTCGTATTCTAGAATAACTTTTATGAGTAAGAGTAAAACAGATTTTTTTATTTGTAATTTTATTTAAGGAGAAACACTCTTCCCCTTTGGTATGACTACAATACTATAAACAGCAAGAAGTATGTTCTGCTTTCTGTAATTTTAGAAAGTCATTCCAGCCTGGGTGACAGAATGAGGTAAGACTGTCTCTTAATTAAAAGAGCTTGGCCGGGTACAGTGGCTCATGCCTGTAATCCCAGCACTTTGGGAGGCTGAGGCGGGCGGATGACAAGGTCAAGAGATCGAGACCATCCTGACCAACATGGTGAAACCCTTCTCTACTAAAAATACAAAAATTAGCTGGACGTGGTGGCATGCACCTGTAATCCCAGCTGCTTGGGAGGCTGAGGCAGGAGAATCACTTGAACCCCAGAGGCAGAGGTTGCAGTGAGCCGAGATCACACCACTGCATACTCTAGCCTGGCGACAGAGGAAGACTCCATATGAAAAAGAAAAAAAAAAAAAAGTTCACACCTGTAATCCCAGCATTTTGGGCACCTAGGCAGGTGGATTGCTTGAGCCCAGCAGCTTGAGACTAGCCTGACAACAAAGTGAGATTCCCCTCCTCTACAAAAAAAATTTAAAAATTCACCAGACATGGTGGCACATGTCTGTGGTCCCAGCTACATGAAAATCTGAAGCAGGCAGATCGGTTGAGCCCGGGAGGTTGAGGCTGCAATGAGCCATGTTCAAGCCACCACACTCCAACCTGTGTGACAGAGACCATGTCTCAAAAAAAAGTCATCTGTGTGTTCCTTGCAGGCACATCTATGGTAATGGTTGTACTATGAATTTAAAACTTTTAACTTGATGGCACATTTTTACTTTTTTTTTTTGAGATGGAGTCTCGGCCGGGCGCGGTGGCTCAAGCCTGTAATCCCAGCACTTTGGGAGGCCGAGGCGGGTGGATCACGAGGTCAAGAGATCGAGACCATCCTGGTCAACATGGTGAAACCCCGTTTCTACTAAAAATACAAAAAATTAGCTGGGCACGGTGGCGCGTGCCTGTAATCCCAGCTACTCAGGAGGCTGAGGCAGGAGAATTGCCTGAACCCGGGAGGTGGAGGTTGCGGTGAGCCGAGATCGCGCCATTGCACTCCAGCCTGGGTAACATGAGTGAAACTCCGTCCCCAAAAAAAAAAAAAAAAAGAGAGATGGAGTCTCACTGTGGACTCCATCCAGGCTGGAGTGCAGTGGTGTGATCTCAGCTCAGTGCAACCTCTGCCTGCCAGGTTCAAACTGAGGCAGCCTTCCTGAGTAGCTGGAATTACAGGCATGTGCCACCATGCCCAGCTAATTTTGTATTTTTAATAGAAATGAGGTTTCACCATATTGGCCAGGCTGGTCTCAAACTCCTGACCTCAAGTGACCCACCCACCTTGGCCTCCCAAAGTGCTGGGACTGCAGGCATGAGCCACCACGCGAGGCCCTGATGGCACATTTTAAAAGGGGGGAATAACATGGGCAGTTAATGTTCATATAATAAATAGCTTTAGTTGCTTCTTATGCTACAAAGCTTCTGTATGTAAATTTTTAATATAAAAGGATCGATTTATTGTGGTTCAAATACATAAACTGACATTCAAACATCTTAAACTTTAGGAACATAAGTTTAACATTCAAACAGAAGTACAGTTTTCAGGAAACATCTAGAAAGTAATTTGTTGTCTAATCCAGAGTATCGATAAAGGTTGCTTCATGATGAATAAAGTGTGTTTCACCATTTTTTTTTGTCTTTTCATTCCTCCATAAAAATCACTGGCAGTTCAATTCAGACCAACTTCATAATGACTGTGCCTCCAATACCTGAGAATAAATTGCTAAATAAATCCCCTTAGATTAACCAATAAGATTGGCCTGTAATTCAGAGGAGATAAGCAAATCATGTAAGTGAACAAATTAAATTGTTCTTTAGAGATGAAGGTAAAAGCACATCCAGCAATTTTCGCCTCTGACAGATTATTCAGTTTTCAGTGTTTTAGTTTTTTTGCGGGGGAGGGTCTTGCTTTGTTCCTAGGCTGAAGTGCAGTGGCATGTTCATGGCTCGCTGCAGCCTCAACCTCGGGCTAAATGCAATTCTTCTACCTCAGCCTCCTGAGTAGCTGGAATTACAGGCACATGCCATTTTGCCCAGCTAATTTTTTAATGTTTCATAGAGGCAGGGTCCCACTATGTTGCTCAGGTTGTTCTCAAACTCCTGGAGTCAAGCGATCCTCCCACTTCAGCCTCCCAAAGTACCTCCCAAAGCAGGTAAGCCACCACGGCCAGACTTACCTGCTTTAAAACAAACAAAAAACCAGGTTTTCTTGGAATCTGTGCTATCTGCATCTTGCAAATGCAAACCACATACGCTCTTTAACGAAAACCTTTCCATGCACACCACTGTTAGGAAGAGCATCGTTAAATCACTAACTCCACACCCATAAAAGGATGATTTGAGTTTTAAGATTTTAGATGTACTAGATAGCCTGTATTTGAGTATATCAATCATGTCACACAAAGAAAAATATTTCCAAAGAAGTGTTCTCTGTTCAGAAGCATCACAAATGCTCCTCCTGCTTCTCAGATCATTTTGCAATGAGTTTACTAATACTTATCTACATAAAAACCTGAAAATTGGCTCAGGCAAGCATTTTGAATTAGTAGATTACTCCCATAGAACAGTATTCAGAATTATTGTCTTGTGGGCTCTGAAGCTCAGGGAGGTAGTAGAGGTGGACCCTGACAGCCCAGGTCATCAATATCCACATTGAGATTATGCCTCTCCTCAGGTGCAGTCCAGTACTGGACACCATTTATCATTCTGCAAAATGATGTCTGTATCTTTCAGGTGCTGGTCAGATTCTTAGAGTAACTTCTTAGCTCTGTTCTGTTGATGAACAGACGACTTCAGTTTTCAGAACTGATGATTCCAGCGTCTTCCACAAGCTTTCACATCTTTCACTGAATTATAAATTTGGTCTCCTTCAAAAGTGCCCCAAAGTCAACTTTGGTTGTAATGTATTTATCTCTGACATATTCTTCAAATTCTCTGTTTTTTTTCCTGTCATTTGAGAACTGCACCCAGAATTTTAATTTTTTTTAATTCTTCCATGTGGATGTTAAGGTACTCACAGAGGTTGCATCCAGAAGTCTTCCCTCTTCTTTCTGGTAAGTGCTTCAATGTGCTCATTAAGCTTCTCTTCCCTTTCCAACTGGGATCTAGATTCTCAGTGGTGATCTTTTTGACAAGTCCTCTATCAAACCATGACACATGTGAAGAGCCCTCAGGAATAATACAGGATTTTTCGAAAAAGTTCCAGGGTATCTCCTGATGTCAGTATACTCTCAGTCCTACACCTAAGAGTTGTTTTTTTGTAACAGCTTTATTGAGATACAATTCATAGCTTATATTTAAAATGTACAATTCAGTGGATTTGAGTATATTCAGAGTTGTGCAACCTACACCACAAGCTAACTGTAGGATATTTTCATCACCCTGAAAAGAAACCCTACACCCATTAGCAGTTACTCCATTTTACCTACAGCCAGCCTAGGCAACCACTAATCTTTCCGCCTATTCTGGACGTTTCGTTTAAATGGAATCATGTGATCTTTCGTGACTGGCTTCTTTCACTTAACGTTTTCAAGGTTTATCCATGATTAGCATATATCAGTCCTTTGTTTCTTTTTACTGCCAAATAATGGTTATAGGCCTAGGGGTAGAATTGCTAAATCATACAGCAGCTCTGTTTCATCTTTTGAGGAACTGACAGTCTGTTTCCTGAAGTGGCTGCAACATTTTACATTCCCACCAGCAATGTATGAGGGTTCCAATTTTTGCACATCTTCAACACTTGTTATTATTTTTCTTTTTAATTACAGCCATTCTACTGAATTAAATGATAACTCATAGTTGTGTGTTTTCCTTTTTTTTTTTTTTGGAGATGGAATCTCACTCTGTCACCCAGGCTGGAGTGCAATGGCATGATCTCAGCTCACTGTAACCTCTGCTTCCTGGGTTCAAGTGATTCTCCTGCCTCAGCCTCCCGAGTAGCTGGGACTACAGGCATGCATCACCACGCCATGCTAATTTTTATACTTTTAGTAGAGATAAGGTTTCGCCATGTTGGCCAGGCTGGTCTCTAACTCCTGACCTCCAGTGATCCACCTACCTTGGCCTGGTAAAGTACTGGGATTGCAAGCGTGAGCTACTGCATCCCGCCTCATAGTTTTGATTTACACTTCCCTAATGATTATGTCCAGCATCTTTTCATGTGCTAACTGGCCATTTGTTAGTGGTTTTTGCTTCTTTTAAAAACTGCGGAGACATCCATAAACATTTTCAAAATGCAGCAAATACTGTACATACAAATAGTAAGACTGGCCTTTGTGCTGTCCATCATTAATCCTAAATGCAACAAAACACATGGAGACTTTGAAAATCCTTCAGAATAATGCTATAGTTAAGATTTTGCTAAAGCAAGTGTTCTTTCTAATTCTTTGAGCTGCATATTGCCTTGAGTAATCATCATCCGGATTGTGTCCTGTAGAATAAAGTGAAATCTGGTTACTGTTTTACCTGGTTAAACAAGGTATAGCTATAACATTTTATTTGTTAAAATCAAGAGCCAATACTAGGTATTGGAACTGCTGCCTTTTAGGAAAGCCAAAGAAGTTCCACATATATAATACATAACATAAAAATCAAGTGATGATGTTGAAGAGTACAGATACAGCAATACTAAATTTTAAAATATTTAAAATCGGTAACATTACAAGCAATGATCAAGCTATGCCAGCTTGGTGGCATTATATTCCAAGATGTCTGCTAAACTTAAAAAAAAAATTCACTGAACAATTAAAAGAAATAGGGTCTGTCCTCACCATGATTTTGTTCTCACCTCTTCCGTGGCACTTTTGTTTCTTTTGAATTCTTCCCTTGCCCAATCCTTCAGGTATTTGCGATCAGAATCATTTGGAACTTGCCGAATTGTTTGCAAAATCCTTCTGTAGAGGAGAAGAACTTGTTGCCTTCTTATGAACTGCAAAAGAGAGGAGAAACAGCAATTACTACTGCACAATCGCCAGCCTGGAAGGTTCTATTTCAGCAAAAAAGCTGTAACCAGACTCTTTGGTGAATTTCGGAAAAAAACAAAGACTTTTTTTTTTTTTTTTTTTTTTTTGCCAGGTGCAGTGGCTCAGGCCTGTAATCCCAGAACTTTAGGAGACCGAGATGGGAGGATCACCTGAGCCCAGGGAGGTGTAAGCTGCTGTAAGCCTTGATTGCTCCACTGCACTCAGCCTGGGCGAGTGAGGCCCTGTCTCAAAAACATGTTTTAAAGAAAGCATCACGAGGTTCATCTGATCTTTTTGCTTACTCCTCTGTGAAACCTAAGAACAATTAAAAAATCGGCCAGGCGCGGTGGCTCATGCCTGTAATCCCAGCATTTTGGGAGGCCGAGGCAGGCGGATGACAGGGTCAGGAGTTTGAGACCAGCCTAACTAACATGGTCAAAGTCCGTCCCTACTAAAAATACAAAAATTAGCTAGATGTGGTGGCGCGCGCCTGCCTGTAATCCCAGCTACTCAGGAGGCTGAGGCAGGAGAATCGCTTGAACCCGGGAGGCGGAAGTTGCAGCGAGCCGAGATCTGGCCACTGCACTCCAGCCTGGGCGACGGAGTGAGACTCTGTCTCTACACACACACAAACACACACACACGCAAATCAGGAGCTGACTACCGGGCTGAAAAGGGCTGCCGGTCTCCTATATGTTGACGACAGCACTTTTTCTAAATTAACAGTTGTTCAAATCTTTGGTAATCTCATTTGCCGTTTGCCACAGCTCAGTGCAACTGACAGCTGCCCTGAGTAGCAGGGGTGCCGATACTTGAGGAAATCAAGCACCTGGCGCACCTCACGCAACCACACCAAACCGGGTAAGCGGCTCTTGCCTCCCATAGGCCTCTGCGGCGCGAAACCCCGCCCCGCAGGCGTCGGGCTAATATCAGAGGGCGCGCGCCGCGTCAGGATCCCGGAACCCGCCCCGTTGGATGGAGGGTAGATGGAGAATCCAGACGCTGAGACCCAGGTAAGCTGCTCTGGAAGGCAGAGAACCTCACCTGCTTTAATGTTAGCGTCGCTGGGGGTAAGCGGGAAGCGGCCATGTCCGCTAGCGGTCAGCGGCCACGTCCGCCAGCGGTCCGCCGGAGCCTCAGCGCGCAGGAGCGGAAGTGGGGGGGGGGCTCACCCCGGGGGTGTGGCGAGCCTGGTTTCCTGGGAGACGGCCGGCGTGTTTGTCACTGACTGAGAGCGCGAGGTCTTCGGACTGAGGCCCTAGGGTTTGGAGAAGGTTATGGGCTGCGCTGGCTGAAGTTTTCTCGTCGGGATAGCAGGGCCTTATAGGGTCGTTGTGATAACGAAAGAAAGGTAGGGCACTTAGCACGGTTGTTGGTAAAGAGAGTTCATCAAATGAAAGTGAAGGAGGCCGGGCGCGGCGGTTCAAGTCTGCAATTCCAAGCACTTTGGGAGGCCGAGGCAGGCAGATTACCTGAGGTCAAGAGTTCGACACCAGACTGGCCACCATGGTGAAGACCCGTTTTTGCCAAAAAATACAAAAACCAGCCCGGCGTGGTGGCGGACGCCTGTAATCCCAGCACCTCGGGAGGCTGAGGCAGGAGAATCGTTTGAACCCGGAAGGTGGAGGTTGCAGTGAGCCGAGATTGCGCCACTGCACTCCAGTCTGGACGACAGAGAGAGACTACGTCTCGGAAAAAAAAAATTTGTGGGCAAAGGGGAAGTTATTTGAATGTTCTTTTGGCAGTACTTCATTTGATCCCACTTGGCACAAGTCTTGAGAACAGAGGTTGGTTCAGCCTCTAGAGGCGTGTCTGAGGGACAGGGGTTGTGGTGGTAAGAGAGGAAAGATTTGGCAATATGAGATTTGGCAATATGAATAGCCTTGGAGTGCATCTCTCTCTCTCTCTCTGTTTTCGTCCTGTTCTTTTCTAACACAAGCGTTCTCCCGGAGCGGTGACCTTCATGATCCTTTGAAACAAAGCTTTGAATGGCTGCCCCACTGCGGGGTTTTTTTTGTTTTGTTTGTTACGTATTGAGAGGAAGTCTTGCTCTGTCACTCAGGCTGGAGTGCAGTGACACTGTCTCGGGCCCACTGCAACCTTTGTCTCCTGAGTTCAAGCGATTCTCCTTCCTCAGCCTCCTGAGTAGCTGGGATTACAGGCGTGCGCCACCACACTCAGCTAATTTTTTTATACTTTTAGTAGAGACGGGGTTTCACCATGTTGGTCAGGCTGGCCTTGAACTCCTGATCTCATGACCCACCCGCCTTGGCATCCCAAAATGCAGGGATTACAGGCCTGAGCCACCGCGCCTGGCCCTCACTTAAGTTTTAAGCACTTTTCATGAGGAGCAGAACCATCCCTAAGCCCCAGGCTTTTGCTTTTCTTTCCTTACAACTGCTTTATCTTCCCCACAATACACACCACATGCCTTTAGGTTAAGTCACTGAAAGTGGAGTTAGCAAATCTTTGCCATATTAATTTTCCAAATAGTGTTGTATCAAATTAAAATAGTACCAAGTGTTCATTCAATTGCTATTTACTGAGTACTTGCTTGCCTGCCTGTTGGCATCCTGGGGCTCCCTCTTCCTAGCTGTGTTACAGGCTATTTACCCTCTCCTGGCCTGTTACCTCCCCTGTAAAGTGAAATACAGCATCTACCTCAGTTGTGTATCTGTAATGTACTGAGAACAGGACCTGGCACACATATGAACTCTAATCATTGCTCTTTTGAACTTCACCAGGCATTGTATGAATGATGCTAACTGCATGACCACATTGTAATATATTTGTCAAACTTTGTCTAATACATTAGCATTGATATTTCATTGCTAACTTTTAAAAAGTATGAGTGAAGTTAAATACCCCTCTCCATTTTTAGTTATACTGATTTTGTGAATTGTTCAGGACTTGGGTCTGTTTATGATGAGGACTTTTATTCTTTTATATGGGCTCTATATTTTGTTTTTGTCATTTCTTTATACATACAGAAATTTTATCTATACAATCACATGTATTTTTGTGCCTTTTGAGGCTTTTCATTTCCCATTCAGACCTTTGTAATTCATTTTTTAAAGTTTCATTATTTTTAAAATATTTACTCCATCTAGAATTTACTTTGGTTTACAGCATCATGTGGATCTAATTTCTTTTCTAGATGTTAAGCTGTATCAGTATCATTTATTACATAATTCACTTCTTTTTCTGGGCTTTATGATTGATGTCTTTTTGACTGTATGGTAAATTCTTTTAGGGTCTGAGTAATCCAGAATTGTTTCATCTTAGACGGGTTGAGTTTTTAATTTTTGTTTTATATGTATGTTTTTATTATCTGGCAAAACTAGTTTCTTGTTAAAAAAAAAATCTATTAGTACTGTTCTCTATAACCTTTAGAAATGTTTTGTATAATTTCCCTCCAGATCATCTTGTGATCTTGATTGGAATTTTGAAATAGTGTTGAATCTATAAATCAATATGTGAGAAAACACATTTTTACATTATTTCTTCTTCCCATCAAGAGACACTCAGGCTGGGCGCAGTGGCTCAGGCCTGTAATCAGGAGTTCGAGACCAGCCTGCCCAACATAGCAAAACCCTGTCTCTACTAAAAATATAAAAAATTAGCCAGGCCTGGTGGTGCACACCTGTAGTCCCAGCTATTCAGGAGGCTAAGGCAGGAGAGTTGCTTGAACCCGGGAGACGGAGGTTGCAGTGAGCAGAGAGCACACCATTGCACTCCAGCCTGGGCAACAAGACCAAAGCTCCATTAAAAAAACACACACACAAAAAAAACTCATGCTAGACACTGGCAATGCTGTGTCATAAGTCTTATATACTCCTTGCTCAGACTCACACTTTGGGCAGGAAAACCTCTTAAGTTCAATATAGTGCTAACAAATAATGTTGTGGTTCATGCTGTGGGAAATCATTCTTCCTGGAGGGCTTGTCTCAGCTGGTATTTGCCAGAAAAGCAAAGTCAGCAAGAGGATTCCAGACAACACATGGAACATTGGCAGGGATACTGGGAGAGAGGGGACAGAAGGGTCAGGCAAGAGCCTCATAGGTCACGTGAAGAAGCTTGAGTATTACCCTCTTCACAATGCGGAGCTTTGAAGGGATTTTCAGCTAGAGAACTTTTAGAAAGATCTTGAATGTTGTATGTAGGATGAAGCGAAGCAAGCAAAAACAAATTACTGGTCAGGATACCACTGAAGGAGTCCCTGCTAGAGATTAAAAGAACCCCAGTCACAATGGAATGGGGGCAGAGGAGGTGCGGAATAGGATAGCATGTCCTGAAGTCAGAATGGACAAGATGATTAATTTGATTGGAGTATGGATAGAAATGGAGAAGGAGGTAAAGCAGATGTGTAGGTTAAGCTCCAAGTTTGTGAACAGGGTGGTTGTTGGAGTGGTCACTGCATATGGGGAATGTTGAAGGAACGTTTGGGATAGGGGAATTAGAACAGAGTGGCATTTTGAATGTGATGTATTTGAAGAGTCTGTTGCCTAAATATAGCTCCAACAGATGTCTGAATATAATTGAGAATACCAAAGAGTAGACTTCCTGGACCCCTGGATGGAGAATTTTAGTCTTTTTGCTTCAATGATGGTTGAGGCCACAGGAGTGGTGAAGTCCAAAGTGAGATTTTGTTGTTTGAACGTTCAGAGTGTTGCTCTGTCACCAAGGCTGGAGTGCAGTGGTGTGATCTCAGTTCACTGCAACCTCTGCCTCCAGGTTCAAGTAGTTCTCTGGACTCAGCCTCCCCAGTAGCTTGGGATTACAGGCACACACTACCACACCCAGCTAATTTTTTGTATTTTTAGTAGAGATGGGGTTCACCATATTGGCCAGGCTGGTCTCAAACTCCCGACCTCAAGGGATCCACCCGCCTCTGCCTTCCAAAGTGTTGGGATTATAGGGGTGAGCCACCACGCCTAGCCCCAAAGTGAGATTTTTGAGACACCATGGAGGACATTTGTGTTCTGCTGTCCATTCATTAACTATCAGAACTTACCTATTTGGCCAAGGCCTAAGGGGATGGGCAGGATGGCACAAATGTGAACTATCAACATGATAGATTAATTTATCACTACTCCTGCAAGCCCTGTTGGGAACACAAGTTGAAAATGGCACTCTTGGGTTCCTGCTTCCTGGAATTCCTACTGTCCCTGATCTCATGAGCTAACCAAGGGCCAAGGGAATCACTCTGGGCATGCCAGTTTGGGAGTTCTATCTAAGATGGAGCTTCCAAAGACAGATATAATAGATTCCAGTATTGTCATAGTATTGGTGTCTTTCCCTCCCAGACTCAACCTTACTGGAAGATTAAACTGCCTGCCCCATGGAGGACTTTAGCCAATGAAAAGTGAGTAGATGTGACATCACTTACGGAGGAGAATCTTTACAAGCCATTGCATGGCTCCATCAACTCACCCTTTTCATTCTACCGCAAAGCCAGCACATTATAGCTCACTCTACCATGGACATAAATGCAAATGGGAAATCAACCCTTGTAGTAAGAGCAACATTGAAGTTGGAGGTCATGTTAGTACAGCATTAACTAGTAACAGCTTACTGATCCAGCAGAGATCAATCCCCTAGCATACCTTTTACAATCCTGTCATCTTTCATTAAGAATAGTCACATATTATATCAACAGTGGTATATGTTTTAATAGTTTTCAGAATATAAGCTGCATAGCTTTTTAGAATAAAAAATAATCATATAACTTCAGGTACATGCTTTGGGACACTTGGATAAACAACAAGCAATCTGTATCTTTGATGACCACCTCAAAAGGGTGGCAGACTTCACAGTGTAACTTGGAAACAGACAGGGAGATAGATGATTACATCATGACATACTGCCTACAAAAGAACATTCTGACAGAACATTAAGTAGAACAGAGCACACAGTTTCAAGTATTCAAGCACTGCTTTCTGGCCAAGTAAAAACTGCCTAAAAATCAGTTTTTTTTTGACTGGAAAAAATAGATGTAGCTGCTGAGTTCTTCTGGATAGTGTTTCTTTCCCAGAATGAAACTGGCTCAGTCCAGCTTGAAAGCAGTGTGAGGAATGACTCTTCCCCTTAACCATTAAGAAAAAAAAGATGAACTAAACAAATAAATTACTACAACAATAGGGACCATGGTACTGAATGAAATA